CGCACACCCGGTTCACCCCCATCCATGCCCCTCGCTACAAAAAAAATGCAGGTGCATCCCGTATGTCGGTCACCGAGGCGCAAACAACACATGTGTTGAGAGATGGAGAGAAAGGGGGATGAGAGAAATCCCCAGGGTTTTGCATTGCATGTGGTACGTCGTGTGTGCTGTGCAACTGACGGGTAGGCCCAGCGGGCCGCAGCGAAGGAAGGGGGATTGCGTGCCAGCCGCTCTTTTGGGGGGGGGAGGGGAGTGTTTCCCGCATCTCTCTCCTCAACAAAGATGGAATGGAGAGAGCGAGTCTTGTTCGCGTGCGGGAATGCCGAATAATTGTATCAGAACTCTCTCTCTCTCTTTCTCTTTTTTTTTCTGTTCTTCTTTTATCCTCTTCGAATCTTCATCACATGCGAGTGCAACAATCTTTCTTTTGCGCTTTCCTCGAGTTCCCCATTCATCGTGCCCTTGTTCTGTCGATTTTTTTGCAGATGGAAGGAGGGTGAGCAGTGTCACCATTCTAGATCTTGCCCTTGACGCCGCAAATGCAAGCTTCGGAGGAGGAGGAGAAAAGGTAGACGGGACAATTATCAGCGCAAAATGGTGTGTTGTTACACCGGGCGCTCGCTCACCGCACCGCTACCGCTACCGATACGTACGTATGTCTGTACGTGTTGGTGTGAGCTCCTCTGGTGATACAAAACAATAAATTATCCCTGGTCTACCCTAATTCTCCGCCGCCGCTACTGCGACCGTGTATCTGTGGGATGATATGGGATGCAGGTGAGGGTAATACAAGAGGTAGCTGACCGAGAAGTTTTTTTTGCTTGCTCAGGCTGTTTTCGATGCGAGTGAGATGGTTCATTGTAGTTTTCTTATCGTTTCTCGGGGCATTGCAGCGTTGTTGTGTCGGACTTCAATATATATATATGTGTGTGTGTGTGTGTGTGTAAAAAAATCTTATCTCTCCTCTCTTTTCTTTAATCGACGGGAAAGAAAAGTTAGTTAGAGCCAACATGCAGACTAAGTTTGAAGAAATAGTGATATACCGCGTGGTGATTGTTCCTATTGCGGAAAATCGTAATCGACTTTGTCATTTTCACTACACCCACTGAGAAGAAAGAGAAAAAAGACTGTATCTGTATTGCTCATAACCTATTCTCCTCCTCCTTCATCACATCTTCCATCCACCCTTACCCCCTTCTTTCTAAACCCTTTCCTCATCCACTTACCTCATCTACATATCCCGTATTCCTCTACGCATACAACCTCCACCTCGTCCACTCCCTACGTCCGTATGCGTATCTTCCCCCCCGGGTCTCCAATCGGTGACCCGCACCATTGGGTTCTCCCATCAAGACCAAGCAAACGAGCCGAAGTAGGTAGAGCCCCCCATGTTCGATTTTGATTGAGGGTTAGGTCCTAGATCCCTAGGTGCTTGCCCTTTTTTTAGGGTAGAGGCGGCGTCCGAGGAACACGGAGGGTGAGAGCGGGAGGGGGGAGGAGATACGGATAGGGAAGGAGAGGGGATGCCTTGTTGGGCGAGTGAAGGAGGTGAAGGGGTGCTTATTGCGGGATTGAGGGATTTGGAAGGATGAGTTGAGGGTTTTTTCTTGGGTTACATAAGGCACGTGTGATGTGTAGGGCTGACATGAGGTTTGCTTGATTTGCAGTGTTTTTTTCTCGTGGACATGGATTTCAACACTGCGGTGTTTGGTGCATGTGTATGTGTTTTTTGGACATGTGAATGCGTGATGGGGGGTATTTTTTCGACTGGGATTGAACGGACATAGTCAAAGCTACAGCAGCGATGTTTGAAAGAGAATGGCGACGAGAATGATAAGGCGATCTTTTGTTTTTGTCTGATTTTCATATTGCATGAGAGTAGTAATTGCCGGAGTTTGATATGCTACTATATTGAGAAGTGCATGCTCATCCTCCGCGGCGTAAACTCGCTCTGTCGTTTTTTCCATTTTGTGTCTCGACGAAGACGAATAGAGCGATAGCCCCAAAAGGGAGGGATGGTGCAGAGACGCAGAGCAGAGATTGCGTGTCCTCTCTTTCCTGAGACGGGCGTAACGTAGTACTACTATGGGCTATTTACCAAATGCAGTGCACATGTACAGGGTTTCTGCATATTTGCGGACATGGAGATGAGCAAAGAAAACGAGGTTTGCCCTGCCTACATATGCGTTACGCATCCCCCGTGCTATCAAGACTCGACTAAGGCAGATCTGTCTAAAAAAGGATGAGTAGGGGAGTGAAGAGAGTTCGCTTTTCGACCACTTCACACAGGGGGTCGAGGGTGGTAGCTTTCTGAAAGAGTCAATACTATCTTTGATTGGTGACTGTGAATAGTTTCATCAGCTGCTTAGGGGGCTGGAAAGAGAGCAAGGACCAGGAAGCCATCTACTGTCAGTACATTTTTCCCTCCCCCATTTCTTACTTGCCCAGATGCATGGACCAGGCTAGGTTGTAAGGCCACGGTAGTAGCCTCCGCCCCCGAGGATGTGGTTGTTTCCCCGCAAACTCGCTTACGTACGGCCATGCATGCTCAGCTACCATTTCGGGGCCAGGGGGGTTGCTGATGTGGCCATGTCTTACGATATGCCAACCAGTTCTATGCCCGGCGCCGATCAAGGGCCGACCGTGACAACGTGCGGGGAGGCGTGTAAGAAATGGGAACGAGTGGTGCGGGGGTCCTGTTGTGTTGCAGGGGATGCCGTGGTAGTCGAGTATCAAGTGCATTTCATTTGGGGGTAGGGGAGAGAGGTAGACTGTATAGATGCAGTGATCAGCGAATCCACGGATATTGTGTTACGCATAGACAGAATGGACCGACGAGCAAAATTGGGAGGCTTTTTGGGTGCGGAGAAAAAAGAAAGCAAAGGGTACATGTAAGCTGCTGCTGCGGCAGTGGAGGTTTGCTGCCGCGGAAGTTGCCGCCAACAAACGCAATCATGCACGGGGTCCACGATTTCAAGTGCATGTGTCAATGTGCTAGTTTTGATGGTTCTCGTCCTGGTGTAGGATTTGGATATGAGTGGTGGTCGCATCGAGAAAGTCATGTCTGCAAACCTTATCGTAGATGGACATTGGCCGCTTGGCTGAAGCAGGGCATAGTGGGTGGCGGAAGCCTAGAGTGGCACAGCGTTCGGTCCCAAGATTTGACTGGGGATACCAGTTGGTTCCAGCCTCGAGGTGATGATTACTGTCGCTAGTCAGCTTGATTCGTTGTAATTTAGCGTATAGGGCTTGCTCTGGCTGGGCGCACCCCCCCCCCCCCAAAAGCCGTGCAGATCCGTAAGCGGCCGGATGGACATGCAAATACAAAACATGGAACAGTCAGCAAAATAACAAAGGCCGACAACGACAGAGCAAGGGCCAAAAGCAATGAAAAGGATATTGTCAGACCTGGGGGAATGGTGTGACGCCCAAGAAGGCGTGCCAGACGGGATCCTCGGACGTCAGAAAACGGAGCAAGAATGTGTGCAAGGTGTGCAAGGGTAGGGCCAAAGTGCAGTGTGCGTAACCGCTCGGGGCATTGCTGAGTCTGTCGTAGCGGGCTGTCGGCTATTGTCCGTAAGAGTGTATTGCGGCGCAACTTTAGCATACCTACTAGGTGTAATCTCCTTGAAGGCATGTCCTTGACTGTAGATTTGGTAATGGGGCTTGGATGCAAAGCGTTGTAGTAGTGTAGCAGCAATGTGTGGATTGGAGGGGTTGGTTTATCTGACCCAAGGGCAGGCCAATGACAAGCACCGGAATTGACAGCCTACCCAATCAGGCCTCATGTGCAGATCTTCAGGGCTTTGACCGAGATGTTGAAGGACGATCTGCAGGGTCTGCATTGCTTGGAGGGGGGAGCCGGCCTGCACGAACTAGTGGATTTTTTTTCCAACATGAGAGTTACAGGCAAGCGGTAGGCAGGCTGGGATTGGAAACAAAGAATTGAGAATCAGCCGTTGGCTTGCATAGGTTCTGGGGTAGCCTGCGGGGAGAGTACGCCGCAGCGACTCACAGATGGCAGCGCGCCAAAATAAGCTTTGTGAGGCGCTGCGTAGCGGCCAAGAGTGGATAGCAGGTGAGGAGAAAAAGGCTAGGAACGCTGCGAACCATGGCAAGCCGACGGCAGATGGCCTTAGTAACGAGATTGCGGAATGACAGCGGGCCACCAAGCTGTAGTTTGATTACCGGTCGTCATCGTCACCATTGCATGCGCGCCATGGGCTCTGCGTCTGCTGGCGCGCTAGTTGGTGAGTTGGGCGACTTTGATGGAGCATCTGTCCACGACGCCTTTCCATGGTTACAAACATATTGTTGAGACTACCAAGCCACATTGCGTTAGGGAGCACTGACAAAACTATGCACCTACATACACCAAGCAACCTTGCGAGCAGGGACGAGGCATGTAAATGTGTATGTGTAACTGTTTTCATTGCTATTATCCGAGTGGCAGAGTGAGGGGGTGATGGTCTGTAACAGACACCGCTCAGTCGTCCTCGGGCGCCAGTGCCACATATGGTCAAAAATCAAGACAAAAATCAAAGGTCGGTGCACCTTGCAAAAAAGGGCGGGTATCCATATTACCAGTTCCAAACCCACGTCCCTATGATTGAAGCCCTCATCCATCCAATTGGCCGTCATCATGGTAGCGCTACCACCGTATTGAAACGAGAAGAAGGAGAGAAAAAAAACATGTCTGTAAAGACGGCGTGACTGCCGTTAAGGTATATACAAAGGAAAAGGTCATGCGTGCGAGCAAATGGCATCGCCCACCCAAAAGAAACGCCGAGATCCGTTTGTAGCCATGACGGCGTGCGTCTATTTCTTCCAAAACGGCCTTTTTTAGTAGAAAAAACTCCATTAGATGCTGATCGTAGCCGTAAGCGCCTTGCTCCAGAGGTTGTTAAGCCTCGTGCCGTAGACCAGAAAAAGTGATGACAAAGCGTGAGACAAAAAAAAAGAACCGAAAATAGACAGAGAGAGGCGTATGACAAAGCTGATTACGATTCAAACTTGCGCTTCTCTCCGCTGGCGGCAATGGCCAAGGCGTCTAGACCACCATACGAACTAGGGTTGTAGCTGTAAGGAGTGGGGTCGGGGTACGGCGAGCGATGTTGCGAGCTTGAAAAGTCGAGAAAAGAGTCGGACGATTGTACAGGAGCCATGTATGACGCCGTAGCGGGACTGACGGGCAGGGTGGGGTCCACCATGGAGAGCGATGAGAGAGAAGGCATTGTTGACTGCAGAGGCGCTGGCTTAGGGCGCTTGGCCTGGTGCTTTGCCTTTTTGACGTCGCGGTCGGCGCCCTTTGCAGCGTTGCGACCGGTCTGGTGGGTGCGGCGGTGCTGCTCCATGTTGTCCTTGCGAGTGAAGGCCTTGTTGCACTCGGGGCAGAAGGCGTCCTTTTTGCCCGTGTGCTTCTTGGCGTGGCGCGCAGCGTGGCCTGAGGTGGTGAAGTAGTCGTTGCAGCCGAATTGTTTGGCCATTGGGCACGGGTAGCTGTTCTTCTTGGGGCGGGCGTTAAGGGCCGAGGGCTCCGAGAGCTGCTGATGTTGCTGGTGGTGCGGGTCCTGGAGATGGTCGGGCCTGTTGTTGAAGTAGCCGGGTTGGGGTGGGTAGGGCATCGGGGCCGCTTGTGGCTGGTGCATGGGGTAGCTGAGGTCCTTTTGCGAGGGGAAGAAGCCATTTTGCGAAAAGACGGGCGAGTCCATGCCCTGCTCAAAGGCAAAATCGGGCGTGATGGGCGAGGGAGTCTGCATGTTTGAGTCTGAAGAATCGCTGCGGACCAGGCGGGGGGTTGGTGGTGAGGCAGCGGGTGACGAATAAGCTGAGGTGCGGGACTGGAGGGAAGGAGTGATGGAGGGGAGTCGGACAAGTTGAGGTGGAGGCGCCGGGCCGTCGTTTAGCAAAGACACTCTGCGACCTGTCGAATTCTTGCCGGACAAGGCGTCCATTTTGAGCAGACACGTGCCGGTGCAAGGGGGGAGGTGATGAAATTCACAGTAATGTGGGGGGGAGCGAGAGGGGGTTGTGCGGTGCGGTGCGTGTGCAAAGGCAGGCGCAGACAGGCAAGCACGTGAAAGTCCGAGGCGAGGCGGGCAGCAGCAGCAGTGGCTAGCAGCAGCAGCGGTAGTCGCGGTGGTGGTGGTGGTGGTGGTAGCAGCAAGCAGCGTGCAAGAGAGCAAGCCGCGGTAGAGAGTCAGATGGATGACGTGGTTGAAGAGGGCAACAAATGGTGAGTGGTGAGGGTGAGGCAGTGGTGGTTGTGGGTGGTAATGGGAAGAGGGATCTGGCAGCAGCACCAGACGGTTGGGCGGGCGTGGGTGGGCAGTTATAATGGGCAGGCACAAGCAGGGCAAAAGGCACAGGGTTCGCCCACCCGGGATCAGGGCACTATCAGGGACTGAGAATTGCATGCGTGGAGATGGGAAAGTGCAGTGCGCCCTAGGACGCTAGCGCGGTGAAGGAGCAGGGGCCCCGGCGATCAGCTTCTGGCGAGGCGACGCGCGACCAGGAAGCATGCGCACCAGCACCAGGTGGCATCAGCTCATCTTACGCCTGGCATGGCGCTACACAGCCGGCGATCGAGGACGACGCCCCCCAAAGCTTCTTGTGCTGTTGAGCCGGCTGCTTGGGGGCAGAGGTGCAGCAGCGCGGGCGATCAAGACAAAAGCAACCCCAGACGAGAGCAGGCGCCGCCCAAGGGCAACCCTCGGCCAATGCTGCGCGGCGGAGTAGTGCCGTGCCAGGACGACAGATCGCGATCTCGTCAGTCGGGAGTGAGAATGGCAGTGGTCAGTGGCCAGTGGGCATGGCAAAGTGGAAGCACCATCCCTCGGGCTGCAACTGCTCTCCCGCCTGCCCGCCTGCCAGCTCACGCTTTTTCTTTTGCTTGCCGCTCCTCGGATATGGCACTCGAGCATTTGCCGGGCGAGGGCAGCAGTACATGGGAAAGAGTAAAGTGTGTGAGTGTGGGTGCAGGTGCGGGAGTGGGTGCGTGTGATGAGCATGAGTGAGAGAGTAGTGAGTGTGTGGGTGTGGGTGTGGGTGTGGGTGTTGTTGTTATTATCCTTATTCTTCTTCCTATTATTGTTATTATTCCCAGTTGTTGTTGTTCTGGTTGTTTGCACGGTGCGCCCACACACACGTATGTACTCGCATCCATACTACACACACACACAGGCATGTGCCCCTCAACAAGCCGATTACACACCGTACCGCACCTGTATGTAGACATGTACCGTAGCAGCAGCAGCAGCAGCAGCAGCAGCAGCAGTCACTCTCCTTTGTGTGCCCTCGGCCGCTGGGCAGCTGCAGCGCGAGGCGGTGGCGGCAGAGGCTGCCGTGTTTCTGCAAGCAGGGCGGAGGGCGGGCGTTCTGCGGGCCAGTAGGCCAGGGTCTGCGTGTCGGTACTGGCAAAATGGACGGGGCGGCATAAACGTCGTGATGTCTGATGTAATCCAGAGATCAGGGTCTTCTCCGCTCCCACATCCCTGTCGGCTCATCCCTGCTCGGCCGTTTCCGCTAGTGCCATATCCGGGCAAGCGCGCTCCTCGACGCTCAGCAGTGATCGAGCAATCAGGTGGGGATCGATTACGGCGCCGCTCCCAATGACGTCGACCCGCCCGCCAGCCAGTCTTCTGCGCCACAGCCCCTGGAGCAGCTGTCTGCCCCTACTAGCCCCTGCTAGCCCACTCACACTGTGCTCGTCAGACCCATAGACCCCTCTGGCCCTCTGCCCACCACGCTCCACGCAGACGCCAAACGGTAGCCGTGCACCCCGGGCCTGCTACTTCTCCCCTCATCGGGTTTTGGCACCACATCGACCTGATCCTCACACCCTAGTCCGACCCCGTTGCTTTTGTACCACAGCCCTTCCAGCCTGAATCCGGTCCTTTTCCACCTCTCTGCTGCTGCGATCGCGATCCCACGCCCAAGCATCTGCCCTCTTCCTTCTATAGCCCACCGACGCGCCATGCAGGGCCCAGCGAAAGTCCCCTTTTCCCGCCGCCGCCTGACCCGGGCCCTCGCTATCTCTTACACACGCTGATGTCATTGCTACCCACTGCCCCAGTCCCTGCCCACCTGCCGACTCCCAAAACAGCAGGCCGCGATACACTTCTGGCGACCGCCATGTCCGCCGTGACACCGCAATCCTGCCATTTCGCCCTTCACCCTCCGCTTTCCCCTCACCTTGGATGCAAGAAAGAGAGCGGGAAAGAAAAAAAAAAGTCTCTTTCGCGTCACTAGAGCCGCCTCCGGTCCACGTGTAAGACCCTCCCTCCCCGATGCATCGCGATCCTCCCGCCTTCCATGTGTCTCCAATCTCATGATCATGCCGGGCAATGCGGTACATACGTGTCCAAGTATTACTTACTCTCCAGCACCGTATGTATGTACGTGCACTTGCTTTGCCTGGCTTGCTTGCATATACATTATAGTACGTACATGCTATACCATCTTACTGCTTGCTTGCCTGCCTAGCAGCCCGCCCTGTCCCCTCAACCAATACTCTGTCGCCTCGTCCACGGGGCTAATCCTCGCCCTCTACCGTGGTAGCAAGACCCTCGATGATTGTTTTCCCTCGTCAATCGCCCTCCCGGTGCGATTGACCAGCATCTTGTGAAACCTAGATTGCTTCTTTGATGCGTCTTCGCTTGCGCAATCTCGCAACCGCAACCACTGTTCAGCTATCCGTCCATTCCTCCATCCTCTACAGAGACCCTGCATATGCGATCCCATCTGCTGCATGAACAAGCGCAAAAGCTACCGGCACCTCTTGATCCCACTCCCACCCTCATAACCACGTCCTTTGTCACTTGGACCTCACGACGAGCCTGCTCTGGGACACATGCTTTGCTAGCCATTTCTACCATTGTTTGTTTCTGAATCAAGGCGCCGACAGTGTGCGTGCGAATCTCGATCTCTCTGCTACACGGTACGTCATTGAACTCTGCGCCACAAGCGCTGCATCGGATCCACTCGGCCTATTTGGAGAAAAAAATTGCTCCTGCGCCAGATGAGCAATTTGGGCCTTGGCATCAAGTTCTGATCTCGATCACTCTCAGCGCCACATGCCTTCGGACCAAATCACAACCACGGGCTACCCATCTAGTATGGCGTTCATGCAGGCAACCACTGCGAATCCCCCCTCGCGACGTTTATTCATCGATTAGCGTCTGCACCTTCTCGTTTGTCATCAGTTTTGGACGCTCAAGTTCGATAAACTAACTCTGCGAGTACGCTATTGCTCGTATGCCCCGTACAGACACACATCACATACGGTCCCTTAGTCTTTCGGCATGTGTGATAGTAGTAAGCCCGTTGGGCAAGCGCGCACCCTTCCCCTCCGCTTCCGCTCACTTGTAATGATTATTCTCGCTTTCGGCTTCAGAACCTGTCCTCTCATCGACTTTGCGACAGACCCTGGCTTTTCGGGAAACATACCGTGTACACATATGCCTAATCATATTGTGCCCATTTGCTTTTTTCGGGTTCGAATCTTGGCAAATGGCTGAAAAGAGAACGGACCCTTGAGCTGTTCTCGGTAGTTTTTGCATCAATTGTTGCGACAATACACAATACAAGCATAATCCCCAAGATAATGCAAATGTGCTGCATGTCTGTCGTACGAGTTGTCGCGAGGGGTACGCGCGTTATCTCCATTAACTCTATGTTACTCGTGTATAGCTGCTTAGAGAGGTAAGCCTCGAGCTGCGTTTCAGTGCCATACAACCGTTCCGACAATCTTCGGCCTCTGCGAGAGTGAGCATCTGCGACACACCATTGGCTGGCCCTAGCAGGCTGAGATCGCTTCCACTACCCCGTTTGCACTACGGCAGTTTTTTTTTTGTTGTGTGTGCTTCAAACTCAAAACTGCGTGCATTGACGCGCGCGCTATTGACGCCTTCCGTCGCAAGTTATTTTACCAAGATTAGGTGCACATCACTACTTTACACCCACCTAGAAAGGAAGCGGAAAGAAATGAGACCAAACCACTAAAACAAGGGCGGCGCATTATGCAACATGGGTTTCTTTCTGCGAGGCTGCCAGCCGCACACAACGTCCGCGGAGCTGGCTGTCGGCTGCTACTTTTTAGCTCGGGCCCCACCACGAATGAACGGAACAGGTTCCTACCAGACGTTTCCGACCGTTGTCGGGCCTGCTTGCACTTGCTTGCTGTGTCATCCCCAAGAATGAACGCTTATCCCGCATCCCCGCCCACGCTACCGCAGAGTAGATCCACGTGGGAAGCAACTTGGATTGCTGGAGCTACTTTTTTTTCTGCTCTCTTTCTCTCTGCAAGTTTCTTGTTCCTTTGCCAATAATTACGTCTACTTACTATTCCCGGCGAGCGGGGGAAATAGCCACGCTGTGCCAAGTAGTTTTTTTTGCTTGAGGCTTCCCATTAACCTATACCTCTCAACACTTTCAAGCAACCACTTCCTTGTCCAGTAGTAGTAACCAACTTTTTTTGGGGCGCTTCAATAACTTGCATCTCCCCCGTCCGGATGTGATCCCCGGTGTAACTAGTAGTTTTCCATAGCACCTCTATCCATATCTCTCGTCCCGCAATCACCAATTGCCTTCTTTGGCCGAGAAACCAAGAACAACAAAAACGCCTTGTCTAGACCCTTCCCCTCCCCTCCCCTCCCCTCCCCTCCCCAAATCCCCCCTTTCCCCGCTCCACTTAACTGCCATTTGCCTATCAGAGCTCCGTCCATACTCCGGATGTCGCTTACGCCCTCCTTCACCTCTCATTAAACTCTAGGCGAGAGATAAATCCCTCTTTTGTAATCACCACTTTCATGCGGACCCCCTCGGATTGTGCGAGAGGGTACGGAGCTGATGCCGACTCAAACGCGGTTCATGCATCCCCTCCCTCCCTCCCCATGTTCGCGGCGGTGGCTTGCAAAACCATGGCGAGAACAGAAGGAGGAAAGAAAGAAAAAGAAAAGCCACAAACTGTATTTTGTCTTGAACTACTTGGTAGATTGTGTGTTGTTGTTTCCAGGGATGCGCAACACTGTGTGTGTGTGTGTGTGTGTGTGTGCGCGTGCGCCCCCGTGGTTGATGAACCGTTCATTTTATTCGGTACTGGGTTTGGTGAACTAATACGCCATTATACTTGCTCTCACCCTCCTCCTTCCACCTTAGTCTATTTCTTTTATTTTTCTTTTATTTCTTTTTTATATTTTCTTTTGTATGCGTTTGTGAACTCTGGTTCACTTGCATCATTTCCTGCTTGTCAACTTGGCCAAACCCCCCTCCCCTCCTCCTTCCCATCATCAAAAATCCTGTTTTTATTTGATTTTTTTCCTCTGACTCGTGGGCTGGCTGGGCCATGCGTGATGTATGTGGGGAAGTTTACAGTAATGTGCAAAGTTGCTTGTTTTACGTCGTTTGTGCTGCGCGCGCACGCGGCTATCTTTCCCTTTCGACCAGCCACACACGCACCCCGGTTTATTACTAAACACGCCGAATCTCTAACTGCTTTCTCAGCCTCGTACTCGCACAACGGGTCCTCTTCTGGGTTGTTTTAGGCGCTCGATCGATGCGCACGCCGGTCATTCCTCTCGATTCTATACATTGTTCCTTGGAAAAATAAGTCCGATTACCCTGATTCAAGTTTTTTTTTTGAAGAATTACTCATGCAACCTATCTATGCACATTCTTGCCTTGCAAGTTTCCCCTTCTTACGAAAGAAAGAAAGAAAGAAAGGCGGATTGGTGGTGGGGAGGATGCGCGCCATCTCATCTGATGTCTTGTCATGTCGTTGCATCTCTACTGTCTTTCCCCCCCCCCCGCCTTGCAATTCTTTACATCAGATCATTGACAAGTCTTTTCTTTCCTGGTTGCTGGTCAGCCTTAACGACCCTCTTTGCCGGCTGGCACTTCCGACAAGCAAATAGCGAGTAGCAGCTACCATGCCTTCCCGCTCTCACACGTCAGGCCCTCAATCCTTCCTGTCACCGGCGTCCAAGTAAATCCCCCTTCCCATCATCTCACCTACTCGGCCATTTCCTCCATAGACATCACACACACACACACACACACACACACACACACACACACCTCGCGTGCATACACGCGAGAGCGTTGGACGTTGAATACGGGAACGCAAAAGAAGCTCGGTTTCAGCATCCCCCCTCTCCAACCACCTCCAATACGTACTACACTACTACATATCACAAACCGTTGTCCCGCCCCACCCCTCCTACCTTCCCGCGTGCAACCACCCCGTTTTCGTGGCTTGCCCCTTCTCATTACAAAACGGCGTATAGTAGCTGCAGGGTCTCGTTCCCTTCCCTTTCTCTACCCTCTCTCGACCCTGATTCAAGCGCCATCTTGCTCCACTATTTGCTCATACTACATATTCCCACATAAATATAATCAATCCTCCGAGGGGTCAACATAAATCGAGGCAGGGAAGCACAAATCGGGTTTAAACAAAAAAAACGTGTGTTCGTACAAAGTGGGGGAAGGAGGGGGGGACAGCGGCCGGCAGGGCTTGTGTGCCCTGCTTTGTTGTCTAGATTTGGAGGTGCGCATGTACGTTAGGAAAGTAGAATGGGAATGGGATTGGGCGTGGTGTTTGACTCGGGATGCGATGACCATCCCCCCCATAGCCCCCCGCGTAGTATAGTATGGAGAATGTGCGGTAAGGTCGGCGACGTTTGAAGCAACCCCAGTCTGCGCGCATGAAAGAGAGAGAAAGAGAAAGGGACATGTGCGTTGCTTGGATTCAAGGAACGAGGGAAGGGAAATTGAAGTGCCTTGCTTGCCTGGTTTTCACTGTGGTGGGGTTCATGTTTTCTTTTTCGGTTTGTCCCCTTTTTTTTTCTTCGTGTTGCAAAGTCGGCGGTTGCGTTTGCGTGCGCTTTGCTTGTCCTTCTTCCCACCCCCGGGAATGTTGGCCGGTCGCCCGTGGCCAATGGGGAGCCCCGGAATACAATGACATGGGGGCTGGATACATGCTTCCTTTCGCTCTGTCTGTTTCTGTTGTTCCCTTCCGGATACCTGGTAACAACCTTTTTGTCGTCCCCTCTTCCACATGGCTCATGGTTTGATGTGGTTTTTCACTAACACCGTTTATCTTAATCGGTGAGAAAGTAACCATTGGGTAACTAGCATTCGCATCGATGTAGCGATTGCTAACTCTTTTTTCGCATGGGCCCTATCGGGCTTATTTCTTTGGCTTGCTTGCTTTGCGGCGATTGCGGTATACTTTATGATGCTACATGTTGCATACATGCATGCAACATGAGTAATTACCACATCATACGTCACACCTTTTCTTACCTCTTTCCCCCAACCACATCCCCGTCCAAGCCTCAAATCCACTTTTTCAATTTCTGCGCTATCCTTGCTGTCTCTCGGTGCAACCTAATCTCCTTTATCTCCTCGACTTCACTTTACCATGTTTTTTTTACAACCCCATGCTATAGATAGCCATACCAACCCAGCTTATACGCCCGGCACACTTTCCTTCCCTGCAACTCTATTCTCAGGTGTATATGTGTAGATCCAAAGACCTGGGATGAGCGCATTTCCCTTTGCGTTTTGCGGGCGGGTGGTGGGGTTCGACTGAGCAGGCGGCGGAATATGGTCGCGTAAGAAACCCAACCCCCGGTAAGACTATCAGGGTGACTAAGTTTGTCGTAAGACTATGAGAGCGGGATTCAACGGCCCCGATAGTAAAAAGAAGGTTATACGCCGGGGTTGGCGAGCAGCGGCTGGGACAATCAGACAAGGGGGGACATCGGGGATAACAAAGAGTTAAGGTTGGATAGTAATCACCGTAAGGGTACTCCGTAAGCAACGAGCAAAGACGGGAAAGAGCAAAGGTTACATGGGTGTGCGACGCCGAGATGGAATAAAGAAAGGATATCCCAGCTTCACCCCAAGTCTTCACCCCCGGGGCTCACGGGTGCGGTGGCGGAATAAGGTTGCGTTGGAGGGGGGCGTTCTTTCGCGTATTCCCCTGTGGGGATTATGGATGGGTAGATGGGTAAGTGTATGGGTAAAAATGACGTTTGAGTATTTTCAAAAGCGCCGGAGAAGGGCCGTCATGAAGGGTTTTGGTTTGGGTTGCGAGATGCGAGAGTGGCTGACGTCTCTTCAGGGAAGGGAGTCCGAGGGACTGGTTTTGCTTGGGGTTGTAAGAGGGGGGAATTGGAAAGTTAAAATCTGGTGGTTCGGTTTTGATGCTGAGTATGGTTCGATATGTACAGGGAGTGGGATGCATGACAGGGTGTGAATACGTTGGAGTTTATATTCCGAGTCGTTTATAGTCTTCCGAGACATGTATCGTACCACTTCCAATTCGATAAATGTTTACGTTCGACTTGTATGGATTGTTTTTTGACACAATATCGATATTTCCAAGGTACTAGCCCTGGTTGTAACACTGCGATATGTTACCTTGCACATTCGCAAACTATCTTGCCTGTATTGAATCAGGTTCCCAGTTCAGGTATGACAACAAAGTAATGTCTTTGAAATTTGAGTTTCATAATTCATGGTTGCAGTAAGTGGTATGATGAGGAATCCTGGGGTTGTAAATATAAAATATCCACAGTTGTAGTATTTTTTTCGAACATGTAAACATCCAATGTATTACGAAGGCAACCCTATTTTGAAGGAAAAGATTATTCGAACAATCAAGTGTCTTGACCAGTACTATGTACGACTTACAATAATTATAACAGAGCGCCTGCAAGCTTTTGAAACGTTAGAAAGAGACATGCACGAAATGATTTTACCCTACTGTGGTTGAAATCATACAGACAGACCATACACTGTGACGAACACAAGTATATGTTTAGCTATAATCTACTGGCAACCCGCTGCTGTGGCAGCTATCTGATATATTTTCTCACCAGTATGAGTGAAACATCCTACAGACAGCAAAGTAGAAACACACTAATGTTATGGTATCTAGGACTTTCCAGATCAATAATTTTTTAGTATTGATTGAGCTTTTTTTGTTGATACCAAATACAGGCAGGTCGAGATACTGTCTGCCATCCTTTTCTAAGAAACAATAATCCGCTACTCAAGACGCGAAACAGATAGCAACCATTCAAGCAGTAGTATTTATTCACTGGAACTTAGCATCTTAATGCCAATAAGAGTATCAAAAAACTTTACCAGGAGGATACCGAGTCGTAAGTGAGCAGACAACCACATCCACCCTGCACTGACTGACTTTATCGTAACAGGTCTTCACCCAATTGTATATGTCAGTTCCGAATTTTCAAACTTCACATGCATAATTGAGCGCTTCAAAAGTCTATGCTACACTGTTCGTAACTTGAACAAACTTTTGCCACTCCTTGTATGCCGCTCCACTCGAGATTGCCCACTTTGCTCTCCGGACACCTTCCTTCCAGCGTCCACCACCGGGCCCGACTTCTTTGATGACATTACCGTCATCACCCTCGCCCATGTTACTTGTATCAGCATCACAAATACCGCTTACTACGAACAATGCTGCCGTATTGATGTAGACAAAATGCAGAATCGGGTCGTCAGGCGGGACCTCGCCGTTCAAAATCTTCATGAGGATCGTGGCATTCTGTTCTGGGGACTGACCCGGGCTAACCTCGCTGAGGGGATGCTCAGGAAGCCCAAAGTCGGCAGGGCTGACGGTGAAGTAGTTGATGTCGACCTCGCCTGTTAATGCATTCTCAACTAAGCGCCAGCAGTGAGTTGGTCCAGCACACGATAGCTCGTCAAGTTCCTCGTCGCCGCAGATAATCATGCCCTTCTTGGACCCTGATTGCTTGAGTGACTCTGCAAAATCTGGCCCAATCTCTTTCCTGGCGACACCCAGCACCCGGGCCTCGATCAGCTCGTGTAGGGGGTTTGCCAGAGGACCAAGAAGGTTGAAGATGGTTCGCCAGCCCAACTGCTTCCGAATAGAAGCGGCATGCCTGGCACCAGGATGGAAGATGGGGGCGAACAAAAAGGCATAGTTGGTCTGTGAGTAGATTTCATGGATGGTGTTTGGGGTAACGGCGGTGATGATAGGGGCCTTTGGTGGTGTGCATGAAAGGAGATCTGCCGAGCCAGAACGCGATGTAGACGCTTTGTTGCCGTGCTTTCCAATCATGAGGAGAGAGCTTGCCAGAATGGAAGAGGTAGTGCTGATGTTAAACGTGTTGTGTGAGTCACCTCCTGTGCCTACAATGTCACACAAGCCGCCGTGGTAGTTCCCTTCTTTCCTTCCCCGTTTGGCAATGAGCTCTTGCAGGCCTTGGATATCCACATCGGTTGAAAAGTCACGCATGGCCTTCGAGCACTTTGCCAGCACTTCGGCCTGTCTGTCCTGGTCTGTGAAGTGGAGACATGTTAATAATGCGCCTGTCTGGACCTCTGAGAGACTGTTGGTAAAGATCAAGGCGAGTGCAGCTGCAATCTCGTCGGCGGTTGGCTTGGTGGTGGGTGACTCATGCCAGAGACGTTTGAGGAGGGGCGTGATAGACGTCTTGTCCTCGTCGGTAACGTCGGTAGCCATGGTAGGGTGAATTGGTGTGCTTTGCTTGCTGGCGGGGTAGGCTGGCGGGGCAGAGGGTTGGTGGTGGTGAGATGGACGTGTATTTGTCGGGACACGTGTCAATGGCAGTGTTTATATGTTGTATGGCCGAGCCAATACACGCATTGTTAATTTGGGGATACGGCTGAGTCACGGGAGTGGTGTTTTGGCATATTCCGCTCCTGACAGGGTCCGATGATGTGCTGCACAATGACGGGCCCCACGGCGCTAGGGCACACTGCTAGCGTGCCAAGAATCTTCAAATTCTCGACTCATCGCCGTGCGAGCGCCGCCATCTTTTTTGCGGTCGTGACGGGTCAGAGGAAATTCTCTGACGGACCTTGCAGCTGCTCCGCGCGCGACACCAAAGACATCAAATGGGGAAGAAGCGAACCCATGCCGAGACCAAGGATGGCTTTGCGAAGCCCGAGCCGGACCAGGGCCGGCTGAGCGCGAAGAAAGAGCACAAGAAGGACCAGAAAAAGCCGCACGCGCAGTCGCAGCTTGTATGCGCCCTGAAAAAAAAAACCGCCTGTACTGCATCGCCATGCTAACGCGAAACAGCTGATTAAGCCGCAGCCAGAATGGCATGCCATTGACCTTCCAGAGCTTCCTATCGTCGACAATCCCACCATCCCGCCGCGTTACATCATCGATGCGCTCCACGACTATGCCCTCCAGCTGCTCGACGCAGAGGCCAAGGAGTATGCAGCCTCACACCTCGCAAAGGACTCGTCGCACAAGTTCATGGCTACTGTCATGGACTCTGGTACCATGGAGGACAAGGTGTCAGCCCTGACGCTCTTGGTCCAAGAGTCGCCACTGCACACGCAAAAGGCTTTTGGGCAGCTCATGGGACTGTCGCAAAAGAAGAGCAGGAACGCCGCCATGCAGGCTTTGGCTGCGCTAAAGGATTTGCTTGGCCAGGGTGTCCTCCTTCCTCCAGACCGAAAACTAAAAGCGTTTGCGCGACAGCCAGCCCTCCTCTCCGCCATCCAGGGAAAGAATGTGCACTGGAAGGCGGGTGAGAAGCTTCCTGGTAGCCTGCAAAAAACGCATTTGATTGTATGGGCGTTCGAGGACTGGCTAAAGAAGCAATACTTTGAGCTGCTCAAGATTCTCGAGGCATGGTCTAATGATGAGGTTGAGTTCTCGCGCAACCGCGCTGTCACATATGTTTGGGAGCTCCTCAAGGAAAAACCAGAACAGGAAGAAAACCTGCTGCGACTGCTCATTAACAAGCTAGGAGATAAGGAGAAGAAGGTTGCATCAAGGGCCTCGTATCTGCTGCTCCAGCTGCAAAACACCCATCCGCTCATGAAGAACGTCATCATTAGCTCCATAGAGTCCGATCTGCTCTTCCGACCGAACCAAAGCGGAATCGCCAAATACTACGCCGTCATCACCCTCAACCAGACCGTCCTCAGCCTGAAGGAGCCCGAGGTAGCCAACAAGCTGTTGGAAATCTACTTCAGTCTCTTCTTGGGCCTGCTGAAGAAGCAAAAGGAACACGAAAAGGAGGAGAAGCGGCTGAACAAGCATGGCCTCATCCAAGGAGGTGGTGGAAAACCCGGCAAGATGGCCAGGCAAAAGGCTGAAAAGGCGGCTACCATGGCTTTCAAAGTCGAGGACGAGTCGCGCGAGAAGCTCATTTCGGCAATCTTGACGGGCGTCAACCGCGCATTTCCCTTTGCCAAAACCGACGACGCCAAGTTTGAGGACCAGCTAAACATGATTTTTGAAGTGACACACTCTTCCAACTTCAACACCAGTATCCAGGCCATGACTCTGATTCAGCAGATTTCGGCCACGAAGCATTATTCTGCGGACCGCTTCTACCGTACGCTGTACGAGTCGCTTCTGGACCCACGCCTCATGACGACTTCAAAGCACATTATGTTCTTGAACTTGCTATACAGGTCGCTCAAGGCTGACACGAGCATCAAGCGCGTAAAGGCTTTTGTGAAGAGGTTGCTCCAGACCATTCACATGCATGAGCCTCCGTTTATTTGCGGAGTCTTGTATCTTGTAAACGAGTTGATCAACACCTTCCCGAGCATCAAGTCCATGCTATCCACACCAGAAGACCATGCTGATGACAGTGGCGATGAACACTACGAGGATGTTGATGAGGAAAAGGAGCCCACAACCAATAAGAGCGAAGACAAGTCTACAGCACCAGCCTACGATTCTCGAAAACGAGACCCAGAATACGCAAGAGCTGACCTGTCGTGCTTATGGGAGTTGCTACCGTTGCAAGCACATTACCACCCCTCGGTCCATGTGCTCGCTTCCAAGATTGTCAACCAGGAGCCCATCAAGGAGAAGCCAGACCCAACAATCTACACTTTGATGAACTTCCTCGACAAGTTTTCCTTCAAGAACGCAAAGGCCAAGTCATCCGGCATTCACGGTACATCCATCATGCAGCCTATGGCCGGCACATCCAAAGCGGCATCCTACCTCATCACGACGCGCGACGGCGACCGGACGCATGACCCGCTCAACTCTGAGCAATTCTGGCGCCGCAAGGTCGACGACGTGCGCGACGATGAAGTCTTCTTCCATACGTACTTTGAAAAGGCCGGCAAAGCCAAGCAGGCGGAGAAGAAGACGAAGAAGAAGAACCGCAAGCAAGACGACAGCGAAGACAGCGCCGACGACGAGGAAATCTGGCAGGCGCTCGTCAAGAGCAGACCCGAAGTCGAGGGCGATGGCGGCGACGACGACGATCTCAGCGACTTCGACATGGACGACATGATGAGCGATGACGACGAGGGCGCAGGCGGTATGGACGGCGGCGTCGAACTGAATCTCGGTAGCGACGACGATGAAGACGTCGAAACGGGTGGTCAGCACGCCGACGATGATGACGACGACGACTTTGCAAATTTCGATCTCGACGACGAAGACGCGTTCATGGATAGCGACGCTGATGTCCCCGTTGATCTTGACGTCGACGAGGATGAAGGAGCCGCAAAGGATGGGCGCAAGAATAAGAAGCGCAAGCTTAAGAGTCTGCCTACTTTTGCCTCGGCAGACGATTATGCAAAATTGCTTGCTGATGAGGATAGCGAGTAAGCTTTTGTTTGGTCTTTGCGTTGATGTAGTATTTTTTCACAGAGATGGATTATCTTTTTTTCCTTCTCCCTCAACTTAAAAGAAGAAGAAGATTTTTTTGTCAACTTGTTATGTGAGGTCGTGGTGTCCTGATGTCGTCATCATCGTTGTTTTTGTTGTCATAGTAAAAAAAAGGAGCACTTCGTCGTTGTATTACGCCCATTTTTTTCATTTTTTTCTCCATCAGGTTCGAAAGGGGGAGTGGGATTTAGGGTTTTGGGCAGTTGTTAGATGTTTACATACCCTTCCCCCCCCTTTTGTTAATATAACAACCATATCTTGAAGAAAAAGAAAAACACAAGTGTACTGGAGTAGAGAGAAAAGAACTTTCTTCCCCACTTTCTCTTCATGTCATTTAGTTCATAAAGATGGGTGTTTCATGCTCAGGCGGGTTATTCTGCTTTGTAGAAATGTGTCATCACAAATATGGGGTTCCATACTGTTTCTACGTTGAAAACAAAAGGAAGAAAGCGAAACTGGACCGAACTCAAAACTAAAGCTTCAATATGCATGTGGAATCATGCGTTTCTGCTCGAGTTTTCCGTGTGACGGGAAACGTGTAATCCCCATCTTGCTCATACAAGCACAACCCCAGATGTTTCGATGTAAAACGGCTGCTGGAACGTTGACAGTTTGATGTTCATATTTCTTTTTTTTTCTTTCAACCTTCACATTGCTCAATCCTCATCAGGCATTTGCGGATCAGGGATACTATGCATCACTCTGCCGCGTTCTGTGGTACTCTAACGCAATCTTTTCTTGGCAAAGAGCCTCTTGATCGCATCATTCCCCTCTTTTAGCGATACGGACTTGCTTTTTGTGTGTGGGGAAGATCTGGTGACCCGGGGTTTGTCTGTGCGTGTAATCTGTTAATTTTATGAGATGGAGAGAGTATGGATCGCGATTTTGAATATTTGTTGGATATTACTTGGAGAGAGATGGGTTGAGATCGAGGTGGCATGTTATGGGCACAGGGGATGATGCTAAAGGTGAGGAATTTTGGTGTTGATGCGACAGATGCAAGAGGTAAAGTAAAGGAAAGGGTTTGAGCTGGTGCTGTTGAGGTGGGGAAAAGGAATGGGAAACGTGAGGTAGACTGTGGTATTTTAGTAGTGATGAGAATGGAGTTTCGTTTGGATGCTACAGCATGGAATGGAGACGGAGATAGAGATGGGGCAAGTAGAATGTGTGTGGAAGAAGACTGTGTGGTAAGCTACCATTCCCAGCTGATAGATGATCAAATGGAAGTGCGGTTTTGGAACACGCCGTCTCTGTCCGAGGAGGCTCATGTCTGTCTGTCAGCATCACCTGCCTGTAAATGTCACGTTGGTGTCAAGAGATGTGCTGCGGATGAAATCGAGATGACGAGAAAATCAGATGGCGTTGAGACGACGGCCGATGTAACGTTCGTGAGACAGATGTGCAAAGTTGCGGGCGGGCTGCGGGCTGCGGGCTGCGGGCTGGTGAGGTTGGGAAGCGCCACTAGTCCAGCCTAGTAGGCCGGCCTCAATCCAGTCAATCCAGCCATTCTGTTTCAAACATGTGTAGTGTTGGACATGATAGAGTTTGAACGTAGTTGACCGACATTTTGCTACGCAGCAAACAAGCAGCGACAGCAGGGCGACCAAGTTGAACAGACGGTGTGCGGTGATTGAGTGCACATGTCGCTCAGGAGACCATGCAGGGCTAAGATGAGGGCTCCATTCAGCCGTTGTCGAGGGCGTGGACAGGCATGCCACCCACCTTTTGCTTGGAGCGAACCCGACGCCATGCCAAAACGGGTCCCGGTTGCCGCTCCAGCCCCTTGGCTGCGCCCCTGCGTAACCCACTCGCTCATATTTACGAAGAGCCATACGAGATGATGCTGTCGGGCCTAATTTTAGAGCCCAGCAGCTTCCGAGAGGACGCGTAATGCCGTGTGTTTGCCATTATTGAATAAGCGATATTGGCCATGATTGGCGGGTGCTGCATGGTGAATGCTATGGATGTCATGGTAGTGGGTGTAAGTAAGGAGGGTCAGTCTTGCAAAGGGCTAAAAACAAGCAAACGCCTGGCAAGCTTATCGATTGCTCACGTGACAGACCGCAGTGCTTACTGTACATACTTGCTGTTCTGCCCTACTGCCGCCGGGGCCTGTGTGTAGTCAGGGTCCTGGACTGGACTGTGTAGCAGACAAAACGTTGGGGAAACCAAGGACAAAGGGGTGCGCGCGCCGTTTGACGAGTGCCAGTGCGCCCAACGGAGCGACGAGCATTGAAAAATTGCCATGTTAAAAGTGGAGAGGCTGAAGCCGGGGTCGGAAGAGCATTTGACGGGGGACATGACGACAGCATGCACTTTGTTTCTGCGGGAACCCGCACACCACACCACACCTCACCGCACTGCGCTGAGAGAAGGCTGGAAGAAAGATGGCGAGAGGTTTGCTGAAACTCGGAATGAGGCTGGGCTGGTCAGCACCAGAGGCGCACCTGACAGACTGTCCTGCATGAGCTACGATATTTTTGTTTTCCTTCCTTGGGCCAACATGCTGAGACGACAATGGCACGCATTCATTCCTTTCTCGGCGACCAAGACAATACCATTGTGCTGCTTGTATTGTAGTTGAGTAATATGGCCCAATATTGGCACATGTCGCGATCAGCGTCTGCAAGGACGATGGGAAATCAATAAAAAAAATTATCTCCGCTGCCACAACGGACGCGAAACATGGTCGCCACCAAACAGGGCCATTATTGGCTGGGCTGGCCGCTAACAGCTTGCCACGGTGCGCGTTGCCCGATTGGGGGTTAGCGTGAGGCTGGCTGGTTGCCTGGTCAGGGTGGCGCGGGCCTCTCGGGCTAGTGTTAGCTCGTATGCCTGTTCCTCAGCAGCGGGTGAAGAGAACAGCGGCAATAAAAGGAGGGCGCGTCGCGTTGACAACAATTATTTTCCTGCTCCATCCCATCTCGCTCCAGTCGCTACTCGTCTGAATCGCTACTTGCAACTTGACTTTTGTCGTCAATTCCAATCGCTCAAAGACGCGTATTTAATATCAACCACCACCACCCGAAAAACAAACACTACCACTACCACCACCAAAATGCGTGCCTCCATCTTCGTCTCCACCGTGGCTTTTGCCCTTGCTTCGGCCCAGGTACGCAGAAACCTCTTGCATTGCGAATTCCCCGTGATCTGGTTCTGACATGGCTACCATAGAACTCTTCCCCGTCCCAGGACCCAGCTCCCCAGACTGCTTTCCTGACCCAGACAAACTCTCTGGGTGTGATTACCGGCATGCCCCCTGTTGACACCTCCATTGCCAACCAGCCCGACGCCGTCACCGAACAGCCTGCTGTTGTCACTTCTCAGCCTCTTCCTGCCAACGTTCCCGCTGTTGGCCCTGGTGTCCACACCCTGACCCTCGCCGGCACTGGCACTGGTACCGCTGTCAACCAGACCCGTACTGTCACCGTCAGCGCAAACAACAGCACCACTGTCGTCCTTGCTCCTTCCACCACCTCCTCCGGTGCTGGTGCTACCGGCAGCGGCTCCGAGTCTGGTGCTTCTCGCTCTGGCTCCGGCTCTGGTGCCTCTGCCACTGGCAGCGGTGGTCGCCCCGACTCCACTGGCGCTGCCTCCAACGTCAAGGTAGCTGCCGGTAGCCTCATGGGCTTCGGTGCCTTCATGGCCGCTTTCTTGTAAACGCTCTTTTCCAACGAGACGCGTTTGACGATCTGTTTTTCTGTTCTGTCTCTTGGAGAGATTTTTTGATCATGTTCGGAAGTAATGTCCTTAAAGATACCTTAGCATGTCGTTTTTTTACCCCGAAAACGCTACTTGGCGTCCCTTTTAGCACTGGCATGTGCTTTTGCATGGGAAATTTTGGAAACCTGTTTTTTGTAATGTCTGTTATTTGATGGTGGAGGAAAACATCACGAGGCAATTGAATGAGCCATGTGGTAATTTTATTCCGCGGGGATTATTTTTTTGGGGTTTCGGTTCTTGAGGTTATACTATCGCCGTAGTGTAGCCGGAAGAGACAAACCCATTATCAAAATCTTAAAAACATTTGAAACATCCTTACTACCTACTCCAATCTAGTGAGACTCTAGAGTGACAGGAAACTTTTTGCTAAAGCTGCAGACTGACATTAGCGTACGCCAAAAACCAACATTGATATGTAGCAACTTCACCTCTTCTTTTGCAAACCCCACAAAACCGTTTCCCGTTCTGCATTCCTTCAGCCAGCCAGCCAGCCAGCCAGCCATCCAGCCAAAAGAAAAACAAACCCCCCACCCTCCACAATGGCGTCAGCCTCCCCCTCGCTCAAACACCTAGGGTCTCTCCCCTACACCACCCCCGCAAGCCGCCTCCGCACCCTCGACATCTGGCTTCCCACACCCACCCCAAGCGCACCTTCCCTCTGGCTCATCTACCTCCACGGCGGCGCCTGGCACGACCCCCTACAAGACTCGACCTGCATCACCCCTCTCCTCTCACACCTCAGCACCACCCACGAATCCACGCTCCCCTCCCTCGCCGGCATCGCAAGCCTCAACTACCGCCTCTCGCCCTACCCCGCGCACCCCACGCACCCCAGCACCCCCTCCGACCCCGACCGCTCAGCAAAGCATCCGACCCACGTCCGTGATGTAGCCGCTGCTCTGCGGTTTCTAGCGCAAAACCATGGGATGAAGCGTTGGATCGGCGTGGGCCATTCCTGCGGCGCAACGATGCTTGCGCAGCTTGTGAGCGGGATAGGCGCGGAGACTGAAGCGGCGGAGCCGCCAACCGGACCAGAGGCGTTGGTATTGCTCGAGGGAATATACAACATACCGCTACTCCTCCGGAACCACTCGCCGCCCGCGTGTCCGGAGCATATCTCAGATATTTACCGGGGCTTCGTGGCTGCTGCGTTTGGGACCGAGGCAGACGAAAAGGACTTGTTGGACGTGTCCCCTGTATCGGGGAAATACAACACGGAGCAATGGCCTGAGGGGCGGTTACTGCTTATTTGCCATAGCTACGAGGATGAGCTTGTGGAGCGCGCGCAGCGCGATGTCATGTGTGTGGCGCTGGATAGGCAGGGGTGGAGTATCGTTATGGAGGTTGGGGATGAGGAGGATGAGGTTAGGGCTGAGGGGCGGAGAGTGCTTAATGTGAGGGATTTAAAGGGTGGGCATGATGAGATTTGGGAGGATGGGAAACAGATTGCTACCTTGGTTGCCGAGGTGGTGCAACGGTTGGCGTGAGTATAATAAAGTTAGAGATAGTGATATTAATATTTAGACAAAAGGGCTGCAATCACATCACACAAAAACATACACTGGGTGGCTGGGCTTTGTTTCAAGTCATGTTGATTGGCTGTTGCGATTCCTTATTAAATATACAAAGGCATGGAGTCTTGATGCAGGAAACAAGACTCTTCGAGGAATGCTTTTCAATGACCAGTATCCAATAACCCGGATGCAATCGTTTCGTGGGCCGTGCTAGTCATACAGCTTTGTGTAATGTACAATCGTCTCGCGTTCCCATTCTACCTCTTCCCTTTCCTCAACCACTGTCCGCGACTACCTGTTGTTCAACCTCTGGTCCATGGCCTTGTTGATCTCGCTGTGCACCTCACTAGTCCCGCGTTCGACATTGTTCAACTTGTTCTGAAGCTCTTTGATCTTTTCGCTAGCTTGTGTGCTGGCTCGCCCACCTTCGACCGACTTGGAGGCCTTTGCTTGCGAGGCACTGACATTACCGTAGACTGCCATGGCACTGGCAATCATGCCGCTGATGTCACCCACATTACCAGGAACCACAATGCTGGTACCCTCCTTGGCAAGGTTACCAAAGGCGTCGACATACTTCTCAGCAACAGAGAGCGAAATGGCATTCTGCGCGGCGCCTTCGCCTTGGGCAATGGAGCGTGCAACAGCATCGATACCGTTGGCTGTAGCCCTGGCCTTGAGCAAGATGGCCTCAGCCTCTCCGCTTGCCATGTTGATCTGCTCTGCCCTCAGAGCCTCGGATGCCAGAATCACTGACTGCTTCTTTCCCTCGGCAATGTTGATGGCAGACTGCCTTTGACCCTCCGACTCGAGAATCTCGGCTCGCTTGGATCGCTCAGCAGTGACTTGACGGTGCATGGCTTCGACAACGGGTTCGGGCGCATGAATGTCACGGATCTCGTAGCGCAGGCAAGTAACGCCCCAGTCCTGGGCGGCCTCGTTGATAGCTGCAGTGATGTTCGCATTGAGGTTGGCGCGCTCCTTGAGGACGTGGTCGAGGGAAAGCTGGCCAATTTCGGAGCGCATCGTTGTCTGTGCAAGCTGGGAGATGGCATACTCTGCGTCTTCTACGCCGTAGCTGTTTAACCTTAGTATACTGGTAGCCTCCAATACATCTGGCCGCACTCACCTCGCCTTGTATGCGTCAAACACACGAGTGTACAGTACGCCGTCGAGCTCGAGTGTGACATTGTCGGCTGTGATGGCACTCTGGCTAGGTATCTCAATGGCATTCTCCTTGAGGCTCTTGACATAGGCTATCCGGTCAATGAAGGGTATCAGGATGGCCAGACCAGGCTCCAGTATGCGGTTGAACTTTCCCATGCGCTCGACTATCCATGCTGTCTGCTGCGGCACAAAGCGAATGATCGTGTTGGTGGGCAGGCGCCTGTGTGACGAGGAAAAGTACGATGGGGGCCCCGATGCAGATGTCAGCTGGCCGAACGATGAGAAGACACTTGTCGGGTTTGTGGCGGACTGTGAGCTGAGGTGCGAGTTGCTGCGGGCCGACAATGTCGTCACTACAGCAGCCAGCGGCGTTATCCTCGAGTTTGCCAGTGGCCGCGAGCCTCGTAATAGTGTTGAAGCTGTGGTGGCTGCCAGCCGTGTGTGCGACGCCATGGCGAGTTCAATTGTGGCTGCAAGGCGGTTGATGACGGACACGCGATGCTCTAACCATCTAGTAGTAGCGATACCATCGGCCCATGACTGATGGCATCGCCGACCGCCGCCTTACATAATCAAACACCCTGGTCATGCACAACGATTACCTAGTAGGTTAGTGTGATGGGAGACACTACATGTGCGAGTAGTAAGGCGATAAAATATGATGCTCGATTAATCAATTACGCCTCTCTAGCTAGACCTTTCCTCTGTTTGTCGACTGACATACCGCATATATATGAGGCTCGTATGCTGAGTAAAATGTAGTCTATTTTGCTGCTATAACAACCCCAAATCCATGGTATCAGCCCTCGGTACGATATATCCTATCATAATACCCCAAACGCCGCGCTATGCTTAATAAAAACCGAAATACTGGTCCCCTTCTCAAAGTTTCACCTTCTTGACAGGCTTCTGCTCCGACGCATCGTCCTTCTTTCGTTTGAAAATGCTTTGACTCTTCATTTGTCCAAGGCCAGCCTTGTTAGCTGGAGCGGCCTTTGCCTTTAGGCCGAAACTTAATTTGACGGGTGCTGCATCGACCTTCGCCTCCTCGCCGACTCTCTTTTCTTCCCCTTGCTTCTCGCCATCAGCCGGTGGGTCCGATTTCTTGCCTTCTGTTGACGAGGCCTCTTCCGCGGGTGGGGTGACTTGTTGTTGTACTGCTGCCTGGGCTGCCGCTCGTTTCGCTTCGATGGCTTTTTTAGCTTCGGCTTCTTCCTGGGCACGCTTTGCCATCTTTTTGAGCATTTTGTCTTCACCGGCTCCGCTGCGTGCTTCGGCAGCCTCTAATTCCGCAATTTCGTTGCGTCTCTGTACCGCTGCAGCACTGGTGTCCCGCCATGCAATCATCAAGCCGTCTTTTTCGTCTTCCTTGACATGGCAAATTCCCTCGCGACCAAGATGCTTTGTAAACTCTGTGAGCGAACTCCATTTTGTAGCGTTCACTGTTGATGGTTAGTACATTTCCGCGACATTGAGGGTCTTATGTACTCACTATGTACATGCTCCTTATCCCTAATATATTCATTGTAGAATTTGTTCGCAGATATCCACTGTAGTCATGTCAGTTGAACCGCGTTTTACCAGAGCCAAAGAGGCTTTACACACCTTTTCGTTATGCGCCGTGCGCAACAAGTTGACGAAATCCCTCTGGAAGTCATTACTGAAGTTGTTGATGAACTTCTTTGGGTCCTCGCCGACAATCTGGAGATTCCTGACATGGCTCTCGCTCTGTACGTGACATTTAAATCCGTTGGCGTCGCGACATTGTTTCTGGCAGGGCTCACACCACCAGCGCAGGCGCTGCAGCCCCTTCGACTTCATCTTGTTCGCGACCCATTTTGTACTACCGGCTTCCGCTTTGCCCATGTTTTATGTGTGTAGGTGTCGGCGTGTGTGATGTGCGTATGGTCTAGTCGTGAGTACGCGCGAAGTATTCTATGCAGCGTAGTCTAAGTACGGTGTAGAATGAGTTCTCGTGTGTCCAAATCGTTACAAGTATAGAGCGAGCGTGGTATGGCAGGTTGCAGTAGCAAGCGGGGTAGCAGGATGTGTGGTGGTAGAGTGAGAGTTGAATGCAGAGTTACGGAAATCTAAACACATCGGGCTGACTAACACAGGGATCGCCACCCGCGGCTTACCAGTCTTGGCACTGGGGAACGGAACCAGGGTTCGTACGCACGTGCCTCTTTCCTCAAATATATCGTGAAATCAAAACCACGAAGCAGGTAAAACTCGAATCCTCGGAAGCCATAACATTTCCCTAGATCTATAAATCGCTAAAAAAAATAGTAATTATGACAGTCGTATGCGCTTATCGACAAGTCCCTGCCATTCCGTCTTTCCAAATGGTAAATATCTATCGCTACCAGGCGGCAGCCAGTATAACTTATCTTCGCCAGTGGTTTTCTCCGGGTCTACACCTTCCTTCTTGAGGCGTCCTTTCTGAATCTTTAATGTGCCTGTATATTCAAGTGCCGGAGTGACCCTCAGAAACAGTGGTACAGCATAGTTCGGCAACCGAGCTCGGGCGTGCTTTGCAAGGGCAACGAAGTCGAATGTCGACTCTGTCACGCCGTCTGCCATGACAATTGAGGCTGCGCCAGCTCGGCCATCGTGACCTGGCACAAGGACACCGTACACATTCGTTTCAGCAATCTGAGGAAATGTGCCCACCATGTCCGCGACTTCATTGGTAGAAACGTTTTCAGATTTCCAGCGGAACGTATCGCCTAGTCGATCGACAAAGAAGACGCGGCCTTCGGCGTCTTGCCGCAGCATGTCACCGGACTTGAACCACCTATTTCAAGTAAGCATTCTTTCTCCAGCTTGGCATCATAGATCTTACATGTCACCTTTTTTAAACACATCTGTAATTTGCCTGCTCTGTGTGGCCGCCTCGTTGTTGTAGTAGCTCGGTGCACTAGCCACAGTTTCGGGTGTCAGCCGGTAAAGCATCTGTCCAGGTTCATTGACAGCGCATCGTATTGCAAATCCATTGCGATCTCTCATGATATATTCGGTATCGAGATCCATCTTGACAAGTACCTCCTGATTTCGAAATTTCCAATGCCAGATCAACCCTCGTAGCCCAATACAATTTGCTGTGAAAGGGCCTGCGTTACGATTGAACGTTGACCCGAGCCCATCGGTTGCGGCGTAGAGCTCATGAATGATTGGTATGTTGAAGCGCTCACGAAACGCTTCCCACACGTCTGGACGCATGCCATTGCCCCACGCCATCTGCACTTTATGGGCCCTCTCATACGGGTTCTTTGGGCCATTTAGGAGATATCGACATAATTCGCCAACGTACTGAATAATGTTTGCCTCCGAACCCGCAACTTCAGGCCAGAACGTCTTGTGTGAGAACTTTCTGCTCAATGCCACGGTACCTCCACCGTAGATCATTGATGCTGTACAGAGGGTGTGTGCGGCGGCATGGTAAAGCGGCATACATGTATACATTCGATCCTTGGGCTTGATATTCAGATACTTTGAAATCGACCAGTCACTCTTAAGCTCGCGGGCGGTGCTTATAAACACGCCTTTAGGTAGGCCAGTGGTTCCAGATGTGTATATCAGTCCACGCACTGAATCTAATGAAATGTTCTCAGTGCGGCTGTCGGGAATTGGCGTGTTGTTAGATAGCGATGAGAAGAACGATGGGTCATAGTAGTGAATATTGATGGTGTTCTCCTCCAGTTCGCCACGGCACGGTTCAACGTTCGCTTTGACATCGACGTCTGCGATTAGGAATCGACATTCGCATAGCTGGAATGCTCGTTAGCTGCAATGTAGACGCAGTTTATGATCGAGGGATTTACCTTAATGCAATGAATCAACCCCGCCCCTGTCAGGTTCCAATTCAAAAAACTCGTAGCCGCACCGACTGCATCAACTGCAAGCCAAAGCATCAGGTGCTCTGGACTATTTCCGCCATCGATTGCGACCATCTCCCCTACCTGTACTCCCAGCCCATCAATTAGCCAGTTTGCGACCCTTGTATATGCCTCGGAGAACTCCTTGTAAGACCATGTCTTGCCCTCAAAGATAAGAAAGGGATGGTTTGGTTGTTTTTGGACTTGGTCTTGGAAGATGTGATGTGTGAGGACGCGCTTTTGTGCGACGCGACTGTTCATGAAATCAATGACTTCGGACGATTGCGTCAATCCACCACCGGTATTCTTGAGATCATGGGCTATGTGGTATTTGGCGTTGATGTAGGCAGTGAGAGATGCAGCTCCAGCAGCTCCAACAACGATGGGTACTGATGGAGAATAGTTAGCAATTTCTCTTAATCATTATAGAGGTGAGCTTGAAGCATACACGCCATGATAGTTTCACCTCTGAGGTACTCCTTATCCTTTGACTACTATGACAAAAACAATAGATACCGGTCCACCCCTTGGCCCTCAACCCAGTCCCGAGGCTTTCACAAAGGCTTTCAAAGTTACACCGACTCGTCCCATCTTTTGTAGCACGTTCTAAGCATAATGGATGGGCTAATACAGTGTCACCGAGGTTATTGACTAGGGAGTTATTTGCGGGGTAAGTAGTAGTATGTAAGCTCAGTTTCCCCGCATTTTCAGGGGCACGAAAGAAACGATCACTAACACCCTGGTAGCTTGGTATGATGATGATTATGCCGCCTCATAGATTTGAAAAAAAGATACACCGCATCTTCGATTAGAGCCAAATGCTCAAGATACATTTTCCCTGTTTCATCTATCGCTGTACATGGCTGATTTGCAGACGGACAATTGTTTGCTTGCTCGTTTGCTCGTTCGCTGCAACGCTTCCCAACACTACACTCACTCTCACCACAAAACCTCTTCTTCGTACCAAACACACACCCAGCTGTCCATGTATACTTCATCCTCACACAGCCTACTCTGCTCGCACTCCCCTTACCAGTACACTCCAAAACACACACACACACACAAACAACCATCTTTTGCTTTCTCATCCGTCATAGCATTACTACCTCAACAAAAGACCAACTCGCCAACCAAACAACGCTTTTTCACGCGAACAAGACCATACTGGTAAGCCTTCTTAGTCCTGCTCGCCTACTCGCCGCCGGGCCCGTTGCTGAGTATGCCAACACACAAGAGCAAATGACGACCGCATTTTCTCCAAAACAAAAAGCCCAGGGTATCAGGAAGTGGCGTACGACTAAGCAAAATCGGCAGAGTAGGAGAAACCACGGAACTCTTCTTGCATGGCTTGCGAAAGAACTAGACTTGTTGTCAGCAAAATTTCCCAAGAAATGACATGACTGCACGGGCCCACATACCAGACTGCACAGGTGTAAGCACCGGCGTAACACTCGTAAACTCAGTATCGAAATTACTCGTGTCCGTTGGGCTCGTAATCTGTGGAATAAATGGCGGTTGTACTCTCTTGTGGTAGATGTCGTCCCAGTTGATGTTCCTGAAGAAGGCATGGGACATAATCTCCTGTGCATCAGTCGGCCCAGATCCTAGACGCATCTCAGGCTCACGGGTGAGCAGCTTCTGTAGAATTGATACAGAGTCGCGCGGCATGTGGATGGGGTAGAGCGGTTCGTCGGCAAGAATAGCGTCGTAGATTTCGTCTTCGTCTTCACCACGGAAAGGCGACTGCTGGAGGAGCATCTGGTAGATAAGAACACCAAATGCCCACCAGTCAACTGCGCGTCCGTACTTCTTGTCCAAGAGAATCTGGAGAATCCAATGTCAGACATGCTCATGCTAGGCCAAAAAAATACGGCTTACTTCTGGTGCCATGAACTCAGGAGTACCACAGAATGTGCTGGTGGTTGAGCCATACCACATCTCCTCTTTACATAGACCATAATCGGCAACCTTGATATGTCCGTCAAGAGTCAACATAATATTGTCGAGTTTCAAATCTCGGTAAATGACACCGTTCTCGTGGAAGTACTTGAGGGCGAGGCAGACCTCGGCTGCATAGAACCTGTGCCAGCGTTAGCAAGTGCTTCGTAACCCATATGGTGAAAACATACTGTGCGCGTTTTGTGCCGAATTGCCCACGTTGAATGTGCAACATCAGATCACCACCACTGATGTACTCCATGACGAAGTAGACTCGTGTCTCGGTTTGGAAACAGGCGTGGAGGTTCAGCAAAAAGGGATGCCTCTCCTTGTTGGCAATCAAAAACACTCTCTTCTCCGAGCGCGTGCTCTCCACTTCGTCGTTCTCGATAATGAACTCCTTCTTCAGAACCTTGATGGCATAGAGCTGCTTGGTCGTCTTTGTTTCAGCCAACATGACCTTTCCAAAGTTACCTTTACCCAACACAGCAAGGAAGTTGAAGTGGTCCAATCCTATCCTCTTGCCAGTACCCTGTGTGTTGGCTGCGGGCGTAACCTTCTTTCCTGGTGCTTCTCCCACTGCGGATGGAGGCTGCTGGGTGAGCGCCTGCGGCTCCGGCATCTTTTGTTGCGAAGGCGTTGGTTGCTGCGGATGTTGTGGCGGCGATTGTGGCGGCGGGGGTTGAGGCAGAGGATAGGAGGATTTCGTTGGGTAGGACGGCACAGGCGCGGGCTGTTGGTGACTTGGTGGGTAGCTTGGAATGTTGGCGTAGACTGATGGGTCATAGGCCGCCGGTTGGGGTGCTTGCTGCTGTGACATGCGTTGCTCTGTTGGATATCCACTGCCAGATGATCGTCCACTTTGCGGTGAGTAATCTGTGTTGCTGCGGCCATACCCAGGTTGTGTGGCCTTGTTCATTGCTGCTGCGGCCGCAGCTACTGAAGACTGAGTGCGTGGGCCCGAAGGGGGTCTCGATCCCGAAGTCGGCGATGTGGGAGCCCCAGTGGATCCCGTTCCCGTTGTTGAGTAAGAGGCGCGTGCAGCATCAACTGAAGTTGCTGATGAAGGATAAGATGGCTGTCGTGGCGGGCCGGGTGGAGGACTCATCTGTTCCTTGCCGTAGGAGTACCTGTCGGATTGGGTTGGTGATTCCTGGCCTGGCTGTCCAGGAGATTGAGGTTGCGTCGGTGGCAATGGCTTCGCCGCCGATTGCGGTCTCAGAGTGCGCTGGCTCATACCAGGACCTGATGAAGATTGGCCTCTTCTGGTTCTCTTAATCTCCATTAGAATCTGGTTGGCGACTTCCATGGACATTCCGCAAAAATCTGGTACAAAATGAACGCAGTGAGCGTGACAAGTGAGGCCACATTCTGTGATGAAGTTAGTATGAGGTTAGGGCTAGCGGTCATGTCGAGATACTCACCATTACACTTCTTAGTCTGCTTCCGACCAAGCGGAAGAACGTAACCGCAGTGACAGCACCAATTGGCACCCATGTTGGAAAAGTTCTCGAAACGATGTGGAATTCGGTGGTTGAGCTTTGCCTCGTCGGGATCGGTCTCGGCGTTGGACTGGGTGATGCACTTTGTGACGACTTTGGGATAGCATTTCTTGTGACAGGTATAGTTGCAGTCGGAACATTGCATGCCTGCAGCATACTTAAGAAATTCGGCACAGAGAGCGCAGCGCATGACGTTGTAGAACTGCTGCTGCACAAACTTGTGTCCATACTGCTCGACCACGTCCTCTTTGCGTTGACGGACAGCACCCTTACGACCGAGACCAAGATCAAAGGGCTGCTTGTTGCCCGTGTTCTTGATAAATGACATTGTGAGATGGATGCGGCCAACCGGCTCCAGTGAGAACCAATCATCAATCATGATAGGTCCAGTCTGCGGCTGTGGGGCACCAGGCGGTCTCACACCGGCAGGAGTAGGGCCTCCACCAGGACCGCCAGCGGGGGTTTGTCCTGGGGGTGGCTGAAATTGCATGTCGGGCTGGATTCCAGTGTGGCCTCCCATCTTGTCAGCAGCGACCCAGCCAGAGTTTGCGAGCTCCGTCTCAATCTTCTTCCTGCGCATCTCCTCGGCAATGTCGGATATGCGCACCCATAGCATGCCAATGGGCAGAAGATGGTCGCCTGTCTTGTCGTAGACTGTGATTTCAATCTCGTTTGCCTTGTCGATGCTGAAGTCATGGACTTCGTCGGTCCAGCGGTCATTCCTTGTAGGCTTGGTACGGCCTTTGATGGTGTCTTCGACCTTGATGTTGACAAAAGTTTCTGGGCCCCGACTAAAGCGCCCAGTAGCTGCGTGATCAACATCGGCAACGGCATGTATGCGCAGAGACAGCTGGCCGCTCAGCGGTTTTCTTTGGCTGGGAATATCGAGACTATCGTCTGTGCGATGGTCAGTCTTTGGATGTAATGCTGCTTCTTCCTTTGTGGAGCTTACTATCGTCGCCGTCGCCGTCAATGTCAACATGCAGATCCTCGTACCGCTTCAGCGAGTGCTTGAGCAACTGGATCTTTTGGTTACTCTCGATGCGCTTGGCTTCGGCATCCTGCTTGCTCTTGCGGTCGCCTTCCATTTGGTATAGGCGAACCATCTTCTCAATACCATCCTTGTACTGTTTTTCGACACTGAGCTTGAATTCAAGTTGGGTCAGCATGAGCTGGATGCGGGGACCGAGATGCGGGGTGTCGTATTTGATAAGGTCTGGACTTGTTAGCATCGCACATGGCGGGTAAGGGAGTGGGAAAGGCATGTACCCAGCTTGCTGTAGTTGGGGCGTTTGTTAGCTGTGCCAGGCGGCGGTGCGGCAAAAGGCGCGCGAGGAGGCTGCAGAGCTTCGCCGCCGCTGAGCTGGCTATACTGGCTCTGGGGCCCGCCATAGCCGCCCTGGTCCTGCTGCGCGTAGCCGTCCCAGTTGTCCTTTGGCGGAGGGGTCAGGGGATTGGTGGGGGAGCGGCCTGGCTGCAGATTCATGCTATCGACGCCCGACGTAGTGCGCTGCAGGTCGAGGTCGCGCAACTTGGACTCGAAGTAGTCGATGTTGCGGCGGCCGTCTTTGATCTGGCCGTCGAGGCGCGAGAGGACGGCCGGGTTGTTGGTCGACTGGCGCATGGCATTGGCGGCGTTGATCAGGGCCTTTTCACGGTCGATTTTGCGCTGCACATTGGCAACCGTCTCCTCGACGTTGGCCATGGCGAGGGCGTGGTGTGGAGGAGGGTTCGGCGAAGAAGGCGGGTGGGGGGAATTTCTTCGCCGATGGAGGCAACGGCGTGCTCAGGTGCCTGGCCGTCGCTGGGCTGGCTGGGGGGGAGGGGTGCGCCGGCACTGATACAGACCGACACTGGGGGGTGCAAGCAGGCAGACGGGCAGGCAGGCAGTCTCTGGGCGTCGAGGAGCCGCTGCAACGCGTCTTGGAGCGAGCGATGGGGCGCGCGTCCAGGAGAAGAATCGGGTGGAGAGGCCTGGGGTCAATGGCGGCGGTATGGTGCTGCTGTGGTGATGTCGTCGGGCAGACAGCGATTTAGCTCACGCATAAGGCGGCTTAGCGGAGCCCCACTTTGCTCCCCCCTCTCTGCTCTCTCTGCTCTTGAGTGCAGTCGGTGGCGTTGCAACGGGCGCAGACTGTAGCTGTCGTATCGTCTTATTTCTATTCGTCGTCTTCGTCTTCGTCTTGTCCTTCTTGTCCTTGTCTATCTCCTGCTCTTGCTGGCCCCTGGGTGGGTTGTGTCGTGTGCCTTTGTCAGCGTTGGGGCGGCATAAATCAGACAAGGCGATGGATGGTATGACGACGCGACGGTTGGGGGGCGGGGTGAAAACAAACACTCCCTCTCCTTCGCCCTCACTCGCTCAACGTCACATGCGACTCGGGCAAGCACCTGCCGACGACATCAACATCATGCCTCTATTCTCTAGTCATGCCACCTCGTACTACTACCCATCTTCGCCCCCCCTCACATTGTTCGCATCGCCTTTGTTCCTCGTATCTGCTCGACGGCACATGGCCTCGTTTTTGCCCAATTGGGCACCGACGCTCGGTGTGTACAACGCCTGATGCTCTGCTTGTACGAGTCTTGTCTTCGCCGCCAAACTGCCCATCCCACCTTGCACAACCCTCTGAAACTAACATCAGGGGTGCCATCCCTTCTTACCCATCTTGCATCAACTGCTCTACTGCAGCTACGTATAGCAAACGCCGTTGCATTGCACCTAACCAAGTCACGCGCTCAGACTACTAGACGTCTAATCAAAGTTTTGATGTCGTTGAACGCCGAAATGTCACAACACTTAGCTATACAGTCAACCGAAACCAAAGAATAACAAGTGCTGACGTTCCTTCCCCTAACTGGTGTTCGTCACGTGACTAGCCCAACCGATAGTCACAACTTTGCGACTGGAACTTGACGCGCCGCTTTCGGCCACCACTTTCAAACTCAATGGGAATGTCATCCAACCACATTTCAAGCTTCATATACGCAAAAGCAAGAGCCCAAATAGAGACAGCTCAGCGGCGCGTCTTACAAACGGCCAAGCGACCACTAGCCCACTGATCTGCTCAGCCGGCAATTCATCTTCCGCGAATTGTGGAGAAACCCGCAAAGTCCACCTCGAAAGATTGAAAAGTCAAAAGACCGCATTGGCCCTTGTGCCTACTACATCCTCTCCCACAAAAGCAAACACATGTCTCTATCCGTATAAAAAGACCAATAAATCACCCCAGACCCGCAAAATCACCAATCCTTCCACCTTGCACCCACTCCTGCAAGGTTCCACAGCCTGCAAACATCACCCACCTCCGAAATGTCTCTATAGATCATATGCAACTTCATGTCTTGGACTTTCTTTCATACTCCATCGTAAGAGTGAACGGACAGTTCAGGTGCATCTTTTCTGGAAACTTGCCCCTTTCATTCCCTACCAATAACTTCCGCAATCTATCTTCCCCAAGATCGTTTCCATCAGCAGGAGACATATGGGGCCGATTTCAAACTCAACACAACAGTCACGTGGTTGTGCATTTTTCTAGGGGTTTCCGCGCTGCAGGTATAACGGCAGCTGTATCACAATGGCAGTTGACCGCTTCACTCATTTTCTGCAGATACCGGAGACTTGGCCATCGAGTCATGGCCTAAGAGTGCCATGGTACCGTGGCTTTGGTAAGTTACAAAAAGCAACTCAGTACTTTAGACAGCGGTTTGTTAGTAGCCGCTTTGGCGTCTTTACATGACTCCAGCTGTCTCGCATCTGGCCCTCTTCAGATATTCGAGTCGACAAACGTGCTGATACGTCCAGCCCCATATCAAATAAGGCTACCTAGGGTCCACATTATGAAACCAGCCATTCAGCGCCGCGTATACAAACGTGTTTGTGCTTTAGAATTTTCGACAGTCACAAGTGACTGCTGAATGATACTGGCTTTCGCCTGCGGACCGCGGAACTCCCACTGCTCCACAGTCTGTGAGACACTCACTTCCCTTTCAGGCCCTCCTTCTCTGCCGTGTCAAGTAGCCGTGTCTGTGTGGCGCATCTTGAAGCCTGCAGCCCTTTTGGAAGGAGGTAATGATCACTTCACACATTGTTGTTACAGGTTCATGGTCGCCTTATCTTTTCTCCCATGGCTATGTACACTAATCCATTTATCCAAGCCGCTCACCATAGGGCGTCCCGTTCCGGATGGGCAGGTCAGGGGATGGAAGATCTTCGTTTCGGACCTTTTATGGGGCACGTCAGAAGCGAGTATGTGGCTTATGCAAGGCTTACTAGTGACAACCACTACATACCCGGGATCATCTCCCGACGTGGCGAACCTTCGACCCGACCCAGACACTGTTATGAGCTGCAGACATGAAAATCTGGAGAAAGTTGAGCGAGAGCAGACCGAGCATACCAAATCAAGATTTCTCAATCCGCCATCCGCAGGGCATGTGACCAGATAGCCAAGCGATGAATTCCAAATAGCACACAATAACAGTGGGCTAGCATTCTGCCTGGAATAGAGAGCAACACCATGGGAAGTGTAGCATCAAACCCGCTAAACCTTCACTCTTCAATGTGTACCTTTCGCGGTACCTGCGTTTTCTCGAGTCCGGACGCGAGCATGTTCCACCTGTATGGGTCAGCCGCTCTTCCCACACCGGCCGCCACTTTAGGCCACCCTTACCAACCATCGTAACGACGTTTTCGATGGGGCGGAACATGGTTCTATTCCAGTAATTGTTCGCCGTACCTTACAGGCCGCATCCCAGAAGCCCTCTCACGATTCGACAAAAAATTGGATCCCCGTGGGTCGTTTACTTGGCTTCTGTTGCAAGACCAATGTCGAATTGTTCCATGATCTGAAGCGAGTCGTAATTTGGCATGGGGGATCTTCGACAGCACCCCGACATGCGTCCAATCTCTCTTCTTTTATCTCTGAGCAGATCTGTTTTATATCCTCCATCTTACTTTGCCCTATCCCTGGATGGCAGTTCTTGAATATCATTTTGCGCTTGCATCACTGGCAGATTGACGGCTTCTGAGAACACCACTTAGTTGTTTATAACCTCCGCGGACTGCCTTTTCACTTTTATTGCCACTCCTATTTCGCTCCATAGGAACTCGAATCCAGAGCAAAGGATCCAACATGACTTACTTCGAGGACAAGGCACCCAGCCTCGCTGCCTCAATCATCGCGCTGGCTGTCATTGCGTACATCACATTTGGATTGCGAGTCTACACCAGACTTCACAATCAAGCCTGGGGTCTCGATGATTGGTCTATGACCCTAGCGACTGTAAGTCACTCCCTTTTGACTTTGGCGGTAGGAGTTATGCTGACAGGACACTTGCCAGATTCCCTTCACGGGCCTGACGATATCGTGTATCGGCGGTGCATTCAGCGGCGTCGGCATTCATGACAATAAACTCAGTCCAAGCGAAAAGGTTCAGGGAATGCAGGTATGTGCTTGTTCATTGACGTGACATTTCATACTGACAATCTCCAGTTTTTCTTCTTCTTTGAAGTCTTTTACTGCGCAGCAATTATCCCGATCAAGCTGAGTATATCTTTTATGCTGATCCGAATCGCTTCGCGGAGAAAAACATACATTTACAGCTTGTATGCTGTTTCTGCCATGTTCGTCGTCATGAATCTCATCGCCCTGCTGTACATCATTTTCCAGTGTGCCCCCGTGTCATACGCTTGGGATCAATCGACACCTGGAGGCAAATGTAATCCTTCGCAGACACTTGCCGATATCTACTATGCGACCACAGCAATCAACATTGCAACAGATTGGTTTTGTGCCCTGCTGCCAATACCGTTACTATGGAACGTGCAGCTTAACCGCAATGCTAAGCTTTCCGTCGGCGTTATTCTCGGTCTAGGAGCCTTGTAAGTTTTTGTTCCCCCGGCCTCGCTTATCTCATGAACATGATCACTGACCCGATGCTCCACACAGAGCCAGTTTGTCTGCATGTATTCGCCTCATTTACACGGTGAACCTTACGAGTTCGACCGACTACCTCCGTGAGTTCCACTTTGGCTGTCTATTCTCCTTGTCCCCCGCACACACTAACACCTCCGACAGACGGTGTAGCCGATGTCATTCTCTGGGGCTACGCCGAAAACGGCGTTGGAATGATTGTAGGATGTGTCGCCACACTTCGTCCTCTCCTGCAGCGCGTCCTCAAACTCGGTAGCAGCGGCAGTAGCGCAACCCCACAAACACCCGCAGCAGGCTATGCAAAACGACCCATTCTCAAGAGCCATTTGGCCGGCAGAGATGAGGAATGGGTCGCGCTTGAAGATGGCCAGATGGTAAACATGGTGCGTGGACAGGGTAGCGCCGGAAGCGAGGAATTTATCTTACCATACAAGGACTACCGCGGCATCCACGTCACTAGTACAGTCGAGCAGCGAACAAGCTCACTGAAGCTGTAAGGTGTACCGATAAGATTTTAATTCGTGTTTAAAATGACGTACATATTGAGGAGGATGAAACAAGGGAAAGCAATAAGAAAAAGTTCATACATATATAATAGAAATGACCATAGATTTAACCACCTGCCAAATCAAGAATCCCCCGAACTTGTAATTACTATTCGTACAACCCACCCACAAATTATGTACCTTGCAGGCAAGCCACCAACAACATCACAAGAAAAAAAACCCCTCAGTAGTACCCGTCCATCTGGCCCCCCTCCCGTTACCAGCCTGCCACGTCGGGCCCGCAACGAGAAATAGGAAAGAGACAATCCCGCGATAGTATCACCCCGAGACTCGACAAGTTGCGTACCCGACACTTGCTTTACATGCATAATGTCGCATCTCTTCCACGCGTACATGTACGTAAAGCAGCTAACAAGGTAACTATCCGCAGACTACGCCTTCGTCTTTTCCACTTTGCTACATACGTACTAGCGCCGCACCCGCGACCAGCACGTTAAACGGGGGTGGGTTTAAAAAAGGAAAACGAGCGGTTTGCGTACCGTAGAGCGGGGGGAGAATTTGCGTTTGCATCCTGCTGGCGCATAACCGGGGGGGTTGAAGCGAAAGAAGGAAGAGGGTGTGTGGTGCAGGATGCAGGGAAGCGATATTACAGTACCGGTACTGGGTTGGTGGGAACGCGGAGTAGCGAGATGAGTGTTGGTGTTGGGGAGGTTTTTTTTCACTGAAACGATGGTTATTTTGGTGGATGTACTGGTAGGCTGGGAGGTACTGAGAGTCGGGCCGAGGATGCTGGGTTATGATAGAGCGAGGAGGTGGTTTGGTGGAGGTTCTGCAAGAGGCTAGGAGGCTTTGTAGGAGTTATGATGGTGTGTAGATATGAGATGATGGGTTTGTGGGAGAGGTATGGTTGACGCGAGTGTTGCGTGTTGCGTGTTGCGTGTTGCGTGTTGCGTGCGATGTGTGGATGTAGTTGGTCTGGTGGTGCTTCTTGAGGAGAAATTGCTTGTCGCCGTTAATGGATAGTACTAATGAACTGACTTGGTCTTTTGAAATATCTAGATGGATATGGCGATTTGCCAATTGGCTTCTGGTGTTGTCACTCGGATAGCATAACAGCTCGGCGAGGGTTGGTTGTGCAGAATAGCTTTGTGCAGCTGCCCTGCAATGACTCAATTAGTAGTATAGTAAATTTTAGTCTTGGAATATGGAATAGCTAAATACTGCACGGTGCTTCGTGAGAGGGGAGTGGTGCAGCCTGGGGAATAATGTTCAGAGGGAAACACAATGAGCGATGTGCAAGCCTTAATAGCGGGCTGTACAACCCTTCTTTGATTCACTATGAATTTTGCCAAACTCAGCAGAACGTCCTCTCATTACTTAGACAGTTACCATGGATCGAGATGCTCTAATTCGAAGACTGTCTAGCACTCATTTTTGACGCGACACCCAAACGATTGTCTAGGCTATATCTTGTACCGTTATACTGACATGCAATAACATCATCAAGTGCACTGTCACTAACAATTTATAATACCAAGCAGTTTTTGTACAATGGTAGTACTCGTGTCGCATGTCAAACTCTATTTCCCGGTGGGGTAATTCTGCCAAGCGCCTGCTGCCTACAGTACTAGTGCAACTCCATGAATACGAGATAAACAGCACTGTCTCGACCACATCCCCACGTTGAAAAAAAGCAATATTTCTCGACGCAATCTATTCCCGGGTCCTCTCTTCCCTTGTTTGCCACGATTGTAACTCGGCACAACGCACTGTCTCTCACATCCTGGCCATCCACTCGCATCTAGCCCACCCCGCCTAGTGTCCACTGATTTGTTTTAGATTCTCCGACAATGGCGAATTTTTCTGGTAGCGTCTTCGGCGAGACCCTCCAAATAATCACCAGCACCAAGTTAGAGGAGCTCGCAAAGCAACGTATCAGCTTTGAGGAAAAATATGCCAGACTGCTCGACTCTGTAGAATCCGAAAAAGACGCATTAAAGCGAGTTGGCATCCTACTTGACGGCTTGAAGGAATGCCTTGGCGTTCGGACCATGAAGAGTTCCGAAAATGGGGGAGCTGAACACGTACTTATCAGCAAATCAAGGAATACTCGCCTCGAAACTGATCTCCGGAACCTGCCCCGTTTTATTGAGCAAGCTCGCTTTGACCCTTCTGTGTCAAGTAAGGACCTCTTGGATTGGGAAAAGAAACTGCTCCAGTACCTTTCAATTCAGTCCACCAAGTTCCAATACGCCGATCTCTACGGGAAGCTCGTCACAGAATGGCTCTCCTCTGAAAAATCTGCAAAAAATGATGGCAACGTTGAGATGGTGGAGAGCTTTGAAGAGGTGCCTGGTGCGAAGAAGCTTGCTAATCGTGCAGAATGGGAGAGGAATGTGTTCCAGGCGGCTGAAGTAGATGAAAATGCACTAAGGCTATATCTCGAAGACCTCTTTGTTAGGGACGAGAAAGAAAGTTCCTCAGCAATCGACGAGTTGCGTAAAAAGGTCCAAGAATTCGAGAAGAATCTAACTAGGTCGAACCAATTTGACCTATTGTCACTTCGTCCGACCATTGAAGGATTACAGAACTCTGATCTGCTTTCAAACGAAAAGCGGGAAGCGTTAAGAGATTTTCTGGACAACAGTCAGTATAATCGATACCGGCGAGGGACCTCAACTGACGATTGTATCAGATGTAATATTAACAGAACTCTGCGACATTCTCAATGTGCGCATGGCAGCTCTTGAGAATTGGAGTTGGGGCCCGCAAGTCCTAGTGGAACAGAGGAGGAAGATCAACGGCGAATTCTCGATCCATTTCGATCCTGACCTTTTACAAGCGATTTTCCTTCATTACATCGGCGTACAATGGTATCTTCACTGGCTCTCAACCAATTTAACACAACTAACAAATCTTGACTAGGTCTGTATTCTTAAAGTCAGCATTTAGAGACTTGCATAAGCACGAAGCTTGGAAGAGTTCTTTTACTAAGGTCGGCAGGGATGAGCGCTTACAGCGCATGTGCTTCCTTGGTAAAAAAAGTATAAATGTTTCAAAGAGTCTCGAGCAGAAGCGGAAAGGCACGCATGACAACAGGTACTTTGCACATCAATTGCTGGATTTTGACGCACAAAAAGTCGAGGTGGAAGAGGGCGAGGAAGAAGCAGAGTACGGGGACTACGCTGCCAATAAACGGGGCACCACCATGGAGTGGAAATTTCACACAGGTCATCCTGTGAAATCTGCGACTAAGTCGCATTTCACCTCGAGGCGTCTGGTTGCTGAAATGGAAGTAGATGGAACTGATGAGGATGATGAAGACGAGATGTTTTCTGAGGATTCGTTTCATGACGAAGATGAAATTTACCGTCATCAGTCCAAGAAACCTATGGAATCAAAGCAGAGTCTGCTTCATCTTGTCGCTACAGAAATCATCTTCAATACTCGGCTACACGGCGAGTTTACCTGTCTCCGCACGACATTTGATTCCTGGGATTCACTTCTACCGCATCAAACAATATCCGCAGTCCTCGAATTTCTTGGTGTATCAAGGAAATGGAGGACTTTCTTTGAGCGATATCTACAGGCTCCATTGAAGTTTGCTGACGATCCACCATCTGAGCCACGTTTGCGTCGGCGAGGCATGCCGAGCTCTAATACATTGAGTGATGTGCTGGGCGAGACAGTACTCTTTTGCCTGGACTTTGCTGTCAATCAGGCGACTGGCGGTCCAGATCTGTATCGACTCGGCGATGATGTATGGTTTTGGAATAAGAATTACGAGACATGCGTGAGCGCCTGGGCCAGCATTCTGAAGTTCACCGAGATCATGGGAGTTAGGGTGAGTTTTAGATTAATGAAGGTCCTGTCATGTTGTCTAACGAAAGAACTAGCTGCATGAGAAGAAGACTGGCAGTGTGCGAATCTCACACAACAAAAAAACGGAGATTGATGAACGTCTTCCCGGAGGTGAGATTCGCTGGGGCTTCTTGCAGCTTGATCCCAAAAGCGGCCGGTTCGAAATCGACCAACGCATGGTTGATGGACATGTAGAGGAATTGCGCACGCAGCTGCAAGGCAAATCGAAGAGTGTTATCGACTACATTCAAGCCTGGGTACGTCATACGACTTGAATAACTAGTTTCACAACTTTCTGACCCTTGAAATTAGAACTCTTACGCGGCTACATTCGTCAGCTCGAATTTCGGAAAAGCTGCCAATTGCTTCGGCCGCGAACATGTCGATAAAATGCTCGCTACTCACCGCCACGTTCAGGAGCAAATATTTCCTAATGGCAGCATCGTTCAGAAAATCAAGCAGATGATAGAAGAGCGTTTTTCTGTAAAGAACGTCCCTGACGGCTTTCTCTTCTTCCCAGTCGAATTGGGCGGCCTGGATCTTAAGTCACCGTTTGTGCACCTTTTGCAGATCCGTGAGTCGGTCAAAGAAAATCCTTACGACTTGCTTGATGAATACGAGGAAAATGAGCGCGACGACTACGCCACTGCCAAACGTAGATTCGACAATGCAGACGATTCGGTCTCACAACGTAAAGACACTGATGAATTCTTCTCTTTTGAAGAGTTTGTCAAGCACCGTGAGGTTTTTGGAAGCCTGGGAAAGGCAAGTTTAGTGAAGACTTACAATAAATTGCTGGAGCGACCGCAGGAACAACCTGTTGCTCTCGGCACATCGGTTGCGCAGGCTGTAACTCAGCTGTCGAGTCAGACCAACCTACGAGGCATCCTTGGTCGTTGGGCGGACATGGATGCTTATTGGAAATGGATCGCACAGATGTATGGCCCAGAGATGATCGACACGTTCGGCAGTCTTAATGTTGTCGACTTTGGATTACTGCCTATTGGTATGGTGTCGATGTTTAGACAGCGTCGTACCAAATGGCAAGGCTGAATGGATTCATGAGATGTTTCAAGTTGGGTAGATCGTTCCTGTTTGTCGAATAATATGGCTATCTTAAAGCTTCCTACAGTTTTCGTTGCTGATCGTGAAGTGAGTATCTACCCGTACAGCAAGGCACTTGTCCTGCTCTTGCGTTACTAGCGTAATATAAATCTTGTAGTTACAACCGGAACATTAGTCAGAGGCTGGCGGGGGAATAAGCTCAACGGGACGGGTAATCCGATCGTCTTCCCCGCACCCGCTCTTGTTTCACCCTTTTACATGTCTTCTGTTCCTGTCACTCGCAATCTCTGCTTTGGCACCTCTCCTTTTCGCCAGGAAAAGCAGCAGATCCTGTGTGGTGGACGTAGCGCTATCGAAACTTGAGAATGTGCTCCCCGTCACTGCCACTCTGTGTGCCTCATATGTTAGCAAGACTTTGAGGAAGCCAACAATCGGCTACTGAAAGCCACAGATATCTTCAGTAAGTGCCGATATCACCTGTTTGTGAACTGACTATTGGCAAACCCATTTGAATCATAACTATGACACATTATTGCGTCAGCCCAAGCAACTTTCTGTTGTCAGTCCTTCTTCACATCATGAGTTCCGATTTAAGAGTAGGGAGCCCTCAAAGAAAAAGGAAAAATTGAACATTACTACCTAACGTTGTTCCACGATGTTCAGAGCCGGTGCTGTCATTTCATCACTCGGACATACGGGCACTGGCAAGATATTCAGATGCCAGGGCAGAACTACAGGACCCTTAGCATCCCAACGTGGTACCCCACCGACCCGCTGGAAGCCACTCGGCTAGAACGTTGTGTCGCAAACCCCACGGGACGTGGGTCGAGCCATTTTTTGGCGGACCGGTTCGTCATTGGCGAGAGCTCATAGGCTGGCGCTGCCCACAATTACCGGCAGACGGCCACACAGAAGCGAATCGCGTCCCTGCAAGCTGTCAACAACCAACCAAACAGTCGCGCGGTACACTCCAAGATCCTCAACGATTCGCACCTCTGGGCGGTATTATGGGGGTGTGGGATTGTTAGTTGACGCTAGTTGATGACGTTATCGGCAGAGCTGTGCGCACAACACTGAGACGAGAAAAGTGTCGTGCGCTGGAGCTAGCAAGCTATACGAGCCCTAGCAAGCCAAACCCCATACTTCTTGATTTCCTGTACGAGAGCTATTGGCTCGGTGGATGGAGTTTACAACTGAATAAATATCTCGTCGAGTGCCAGTCGCCCGCAGATCCCCTTTTCGATTTTACCCCTCCTTCAAAAACTTCCAGACCATGTCTGTCATCGATACTACCAAGGACCTGTCAGCACTCTTCTCTCAACAGGTTCAGGCTACCCCCGACTTGGTTGCTTTAGAAGACGACAAGAATACATACACATACCAGGAGCTTCACGACAAAGTTGCTGCGCTTGCCGACCGACTGCGGAGTCATGGGGTTGGCCGTGACAGCCTGGTTGGTGTCCTGTTACCGCGATCCACTGACTATGTAATCGCCTGCTTAGCAGCACTCCGTGCAGGCGGTGCATTTCTGGTTCTGGAACTGGCATATCCTCCTGATCTCCTTGCGGATGTTCTCGAGGACTCGCAGCCTACCGTCATAGTTACTGTCAGCGCAGAAGTCGGAAAGATCAAGGGATCCATACCGCTCGTTGTTTTGGATGAAACCAGCTCAGATAAGAACGGCCAATTGGACGAGTCCGATCTGAAGCCTTTGCCCGAAGAGACTGATTTAGAACGCCTGGCATTTGTTGCCTACTCCAGTGGAACTACTGGCAAGCCGAAAGGTATCGCCAACCCCCACAAAGCAGCGGTCCTTTCATACAACCTTCGATTCGGGCTATCTGATCTACAACCGGGAGACCGAGTGGCTTGCAATGTCTTCTTCGTTTGGGAAATTATACGCCCGCTATTACGGGGAGCAACTGTTGTAGCCGTTCCAGACGATGTAAGCTACGATCCGCGCATGCTAGTCGACCTACTTGCCTCCAAGAAGATTACTGAGACTCTTTTCACACCAACCCTGTTCTCTGCTGTTCTTGCGCGTCACCAGGCGCTGGCGACTCGGCTGCCGAATCTGAAGACTGTTTGGCTCAATGGTGAAGTAGTGACAACCGATCTCGCACGCCGTGGTATTAAGGCCCTCCCCAACGCCCGCTTGCTCAATGTCTATAGCGCGTGCGAGACACACGAAATCGCCTGTGCCGACGTCAAGGATATGCTTGAGAAGATTGAAAATGATGCTGCGTACTGTCCTGTAGGTCCACCACTTATCGACAAGAAGTACATCTACATCTTGGATGAGAGTGGCCAGAAGGTAGACGATGGCGAAAATGGCGAGCTCTGCGTTGGTGGGCACCTTCTTGCCCGTGGATATCTCAACCTTCCAGAGACAACTGAGAAAGCCTTCATCAGGAATCCATACAGCTCCAAGATTGGTGCTAGAATGTATAGGACTGGCGATAAGGCACGCATACTTCCCAGTGGCCTGCTCGAAATCACCGGGCGTGTCGGCGCCATGATTAAAATTCGTGGATATTCGGTGGTTCCAGGCAAGGTTGAGAACGCAATTCTGAGCCATTTGGCCGTCAGCCATTGTGCTGTGATAGCCTTTGGGGAGGGCATTGACCGCCAGTTAGTGGCATATATTGTGCGAGACAAAAACACATCAGCAGAACGCCCGGAGCTTGAGATTGACAGAACTGGGCGCAGCTCGACTGCTAGGCGCATGCTTATGGCCTATCTTGCTCATTACATGATACCTTCGTTATGGGTTGAGATGGATAAGCTACCGACGAGTGATGTTTCTGGCAAGGTCGACCTCAAGGCACTACCTCCCCCGAGGCCATCATCACCTTCAGGAAGTGCACGCAAATATGAACAAAGCCCGATTACTATCGAACAGATAACCCAGATCTGGGCATCTATCCTGAATGTTAGCCCAAGCTCGATCACTCCTGAGTACAACTTCTTCGATCTCGGTGGTCATTCACTTCTTCTTGCAGACTTGGCTGCGCGGTTGTCAAATACTTTCGGTTTCCGGGTACCTGTCGCACGTCTCGCCCAACCCGCAACCCTGAACGGACATCTGGACACAGTTCGTGCTATTCGCGATGGTCATACTGCTGAGGTACAAGAGAACCTTCCAGCTGTATTACGTGCAGACTCTGTCTTGGACAAAGAGATCCAGCCACAAAACGCCAAGGTGTGTGCACTCAAGGATGCGAAAACCGTGCTCCTCACGGGTGTGACTGGTTTCTTGGGTGCGTTCCTTCTCCGCGATCTACTGGAAAGCACGTCTGCTCAAATCATCTGCATGGTCCGATTCGCCGATTCCTCACAAGATGATATCCCTGCTGGTATCGCTAGGATACGTAGGAACTTGCTGGATTTTGGCCTCTGGAGCGACAACATCATGGAGCGTGTGGAAATTCTTCCAGGAAATTTGTCTCGAAAGCGATTCGGTCTTGCCCCTGATACATTCAAAGAGTTGGCCGAACGCCTTGATGTCATTGTTCACGCTGCCGCTACTGTCAACTTGGTATACCCTTATGCTGCGCTGCAGAAGCCTAATGTTGGCGGAACACGAGAAATCTTACGTCTTGCAACTCAGGGTGGTGTGACGGTACAGTATATCTCAACCAACGGAGTACTTCTTCCCGCAAAGGGCCGGGAAGGGTGGCCAGAAGACGCCATGCTTGATGTCAATGATGTTGTCAAGCTTGCTGATGGTTATGGACAAACTAAATGGGTCGCTGAACAACTTGCTTTGGAAGCTGGCCGAAGGGGTCTCCCCATCAAGATTCATCGCATTGGTACGATCAGTGGTCACAGCGAAACTGGTGCTGCCAACGCGTGGGATCTCTTGACAGCTTTGATTGTTGAGTCTATCAGAATTGGTCATTACCCGGACGTCGAGGGTTGGCGTGCAGAAATGACACCGGTGGACTTTGTTAGCAAAGCCATCATTCACCTCAGCAATCAGATTGAAACTGAGCAAACAGTCTTCCATATCGGCGATCCCGATCCTGTGGATGTTAGAAAAGTCTTTGAGGATCTCAATGAACTAGGCTACCCAACTACACCCATAGAGTTCACAAAGTGGATCCAACTCTGGGACGACAAGCGCGGCGCTGCTAAGGGTGGTGATGGCGCATTCACTGTTGATATACTCCGCAGTGGTATGCCTAGCATTGAGTTCTTGAGGGATGTTGTAGTTCTCGACAATGCGAAGACACGGCCACTTCGTCTTGCTGTGGAGCGCCCAAAGGTTGATCAAGTACTTCTTGAGACGTACACACGTCACTGGTACGCTCGAGGCTGGCTCCCAAAGCCTCCTGTCCATCAGGACGCTGCGGGTGGTTCGGCTCGACTTCCCCGAAGGGGTCCGCTATATGGCAAGGTTGTTGTTGTCATGGGTGCTTCATCTGGTATTGGTGCTGCGACTGCTACAGCTCTTGCGCGAGAAGGCTGCCATGTTGCGCTTGCAGCACGGCGCCTAGACGCTCTCGAAGATTTGAAGAAGAGCATTGTGGTTCGCGAGGGCAAGATCATCACCCAGAAGACCGATATCACGGACAAGAGCCAAGTCGAAGCCCTTGTCGCCGCAGCAGAGAAGCAGCTGGGACCAGTTGATATCTTTGTTAACGTCTCGGGAGTCATGTACTTCACCATGATGGCCAACTCGTATACCGACCAGTGGAACCAAACCGTCGACGTAAACTGCAAGGGACTCCTTAACGTCATCGCTGCCATCGTACCCTCGATGCTCAAGCGTGGAAAAGGTCACCTCCTTGCCATCTCTTCAGATGCTGGTAGAAAGGTGTTCCCTGGGCTGGGTGTCTATTCTGCTTCTAAATTCTTCGTAGAAGCTACATTGCAGAGTTTGAGGCTTGAGACTGCTGGTACAGGGCTCAAGGTTACCTCTGTGCAGCCAGGTAACGTCGCCACTGACCTACTGGGCATGAGTACAGATCCAGAAGCACTGAAGAAGTACGGCGAGCCGAGTGGAGCCAAGGTCCTCGATCCAGAGAACGTTGCGGATAGTATCGTGTACGCGCTT